GTCAGCTCCGATTGTGTTTAAGTGCAGGCCAAGGTCTTTAGGCACTGCACCCAGTGTGCCGATCACCACTGGGACCACCTTGACTGGTTTGTGCCAGAGTCTTTGCAGTTTGATCTTTAAATCCTCATATCGTGTCAGCTTTTCCAGTTGTTTCTCTTCAATCCTGCTGTCACCTGGGATTGCAACATCGACAATCCATACTTTGTTTTTTAACACGATCGTAAGGTCAGGAGTATTGTGCTCCAAAACTCTGTCTGTCTGAATCCGGAAGTCCCAGAGTAGCTTGACGTGTTCATTCTCTGTAACTTTTTCCGGCTTGTGATCCCACCAGTTCTTTGTCGCAGGCAGATGGTGTTTGTGGCACAAGTTCCAATGAATCATCTGAGCAACGGTGTTGTGCCTCTGCTTGTAGTCTGTCCACGATCTTCTTGCAGCAGCTGAGAATGGGCTCTATGGTTTCGCCTGCTTATAGAATCATAGAATCAAAGAGTTGGAAGAGACCTCATGGGCCATCCAGTCCAACCCTCTGCCAAGAAGCAGGAATATTGCATTCAAATCACCCCTGACAGATGGCCATCCAGCCTCTGCTTAAAAGCTTCCAAAGAAGGAGCCTCCACCACACTCCGGGGCAGAGAGTTCCACTGCTGAACGGCTCTCACAGTCAGGAAGTTCTTCCTCATGTTCAGATGGAATCTCCTCTCTTGTAGTTTGAAACCATTGTTTCGTGTCCTAGTCTCAAGGGAAGCAGAAAACAAGCTTGCTCCCTCCTCCCTGTGGCTTCCTCTCACATATTTATACATGGCTATCATATCTCCTCTCAGCCTTCTCTTCTTCAGGCTAAACATGCCCAGCTCCTTAAGCCGCTCCTCATAGGGCTTGTTCTCCAGACCTCATTTTAGTCGCCCTCCTCTGGACACATTCCAGCTTGTCAATATCTTTCTTCAATTGTGGTGCCCAGAATTGGACACAGTATTCCAGGTGTGGTCTAACCAAAGCATCTATTGTTTCATTTGCTTCCTTGCAGAGTCTACATTTGGGATCTGTTGTCGACTTTTCAATTCTGGCTTTGATGGCATTGGTTTGAATGGCTTGTTCTTGGGCTGCCAGAATCAGGCCCTCCTGTCTCCTTTTTCAAAGTTCCATTTGTGAGCCACAGCCATGTTTTTTCTTTGTCAATTTGGCTCTCAATTTTTCCCAGGAATTGTCCATGGAGAGCCTTCTTTGGCCAGTTTTCTCTTCTGCTCTGGATTGTATTTTTATGGTATTCCCTCTTTGTCTTTTGCACTTGAAGCAGTTTACTACTATTGACTATTATTATTATTATTATTATTATTATTATTATTATAGAATCATAGAATCCTAGAGTTGGAATAGACCTCATGGGCCATCCAGTCCAACCCCATTCTGCCAAGAAGCAGGAAAATCCTACAGGAAGGCCAGTTGCAAAACTATTTCCAGGACCAAAAAGGAAACAAACAAAGTCATTCATTGCTTGAGGTGTGAAGCCAATATTTCCCTGGACCAAAAGACACATTGAAAAACAAGCCCTGGAAACAGCAACAAAAAAGCCCACGATATGGTTCAGAGATGTGTACTTTCACCATTTGGAGCCATGGAGAAGAAGAACTCAACAGGTTCCTGGAACATCTTAACAGCATCCACCCAAACATCCAATTCAACATGAAAAAGAAAATGAAGGAAAACTGCCATTTCTAGATGTCCTAGTAATCTGCAAATCAGCACAACCATCGGGTCACACAGTTTACAGAAAAACTACATAATTTTAGAGTTTTTTAATGTCAAGTCACCCAAGTAAAAAAGAAGCACCATTAAAGCCTTGGCAGACCGTGCAAAAAGAATCTGCGAACCCCACCTCCTCCAAGATGAACTGAACCACCTCAACTGGGCTCTCCAGGCCAATGGAGACTCCACCTCAGACATCAGAAGAGCGGCAAGACAACCGAGAAGAAGCCACGAGAGTCAAGACCAAGATCCACCCAGAGGAAAGTGTCCTTGCCAGACATCAAGGGAACCACTGACCGCAGAGGGAAGCTGATGAGGAAACACAACATACAAACTACCTACAGACCCACCAAGAAAATCCAACAAATGCTCCGTTCAGCAAAGGACAAGAGGGATCCTCTCACTTCTGCAGGAGTCCCTCTCACCTCTGCAGGAGTCTACCGTATACCATGCAGCTGTGGACAAGTCTACATAGGGACCACCAAACGCAGCATTGCCCAGACATGCATCAAGGAACATGAAAGGCACTGCAGACTACTTCAACCAGAGAAGTCAGCCATAGCAGAGCACCTGAGGAACCAACCTGGACACAGCATATTATTTGAGAACACAGAAACGCTGGACCACTCTCACAACCACCATGTCAGACTACACAGAGAAGCCATTGAAATACACAAGTAGGTGGACAATTTCAACAGAAAGGAGGAAACCATGAAAATGAACAAAATCTGGCTACCAGTATTAAAAAAACTCCAAAATTAGAACAGCACAACAACAGAGAGGAAATAATCTGGGCCATCTAATCACCTGGACCACCATACCTGGAATATTGTGTCCAATTCTGGGCACCACAATTGGAGACAGATATTGACAAGCTGGAATGTATCCAGAGGAGGGCGACTAAAATGATCAGGGGTCTGGAGAACAAGCCCTATGAGGAGCGGCTTAAGGAGCTGGGCATGTTTAGCCTGAAGAAGAGAAGGCTGAGAGGAGATATGATAGCCATGTATAAATATGTGAGAGGAAGCCACAGAGGGGGAAGGAGCAAGCTTGTTTTGGAGACTAGGACGCAGAACAATGGCTTCAAACTACAAGAAAGAGATTCCACCTGAACATTAGGAAGAACTTCCTGACTGTGAGAGCTGTTCAGCAGTGGAACTCTCTGCCCCGGAGCGTGGTGGAGGCTCCTTCTTTGGAAGCTTTTAAACAGAGGCTGGATGGCCATCTGTCAGGGGTGATTTGAATGCAATATTCCTGCTTCTTGGCAGGGGGTTGGACTGGATGGCCCATGAGGTCTCTTCCAACTCTGATTCTATGATTCTATGATTCTACCTCTCAACAAAAGTTTGCTCCAGGCATTGCCTGGCCATCAAATGCTAATCAAGGTGGTCAGTTGAAACATTCACACCTAGCTCCAACAGACAAGAGTCCTTTGTCCCACCCTGGTCATTCCACAGATATATAAACCCTTTTTCCTAGTTCCAACAGACCTCACAACCTCTGAGGATGCTTGCCATAGATGCAGGCGAAATGTCAGGAGAGAATGCCTCTAGACTATGGCCATATAGCCCGAAAAATCCTACAATAACCCATTCCTCAGATATATAAACCCTTTTTCCTAGTTCCAACAGACCTCACAACCTCTGAGGATGCTTGCCATAGATGCAGGCGAAATGTCAGGAGAGAATGCCTCTAGACTATGGCCATATAGCCCAAAAAACTCTACATCAACCCAGTCAAGTTCCAACAGACCTCACTACCTCTGAGGATGCTTGCCATAGATGCAGGCGAAATTTCAGGAGAGAATGCCTCTAGAACATGGCCATATAGCCCGAAAAAACCTACAACAACCCAGTGATTCTGACCATGAAAGCCTTCGACAATACATTGAACTCATACAGTTTACTAGAGTTGCCAGATTGGAGTGAGTCAAAACATTCACACCTAGCTCCAGCAGACAAGAGTCCTTTGTCCCACCCTGGTCATTCCACAGATATATAAACCCTTTGTCCTAGTTCCAACAGACCTCACTACCTCTGAGGATGCTTGCCATAGATGCAGGCGAAACGTCAGGAGAGAATGCCTCTAGACCATGGCCATATAGCCCGAAAAACCTACAATAACCCATTCCTCAGATATATAAACCCTTTTTCCTAGTTCCAACAGACCTCACAACCTCTGAGGATGCTTGCCATAGACGCAGGCGAAATGTCAGGAGAGAATGCCTCTAGACTATGGCCATATAGCCCGAAAAAACCTACAACACAGTCATTCAGGCCAGGAAAGCCTTCGACAAGAGATGGAACAGCTCTGGGCTGTTTGTGGTTCTTGTGCGTCAAAGGCGCATCAGAGGCGAGAAGGGAAGCGGGTCCCTTGCTCTCCTCCTCTTTCTCCTCCTCTTTCTCTTTCTCTTTCTCCTCCCTTTGGCCTCAGAAGCGACCCAGGAAGCCACACGCCTCTGGCCGGGCTCTCAGGCCGGATTTCCTGGCTCTTTGAGAAGCCCGAAAGCAGCTGTTTCCCTGTGTGGCAAGCTGGCATCTCAGGGTGGCAAACAGAGACGCTTTCAAGGCAAGCAATGCGCAAAGAGGCGGTGCTCAAAAGCTGTGCGTTTCCACCTGTGCTTTGGGGTGGGGGGGGGGGGGGGTGTCTGTGTGCCAAGTAGGTTTGATGCAGTTTAACCTCACCTGAACTGCCATGGCTCAGTGCTATGTGGCCCTGGGAGCTGTAGTTTCGCCAGGGCTGTAGTCTTCTCTGCCAAAGCCGCATGGGTGCATCTCTGCTGAAGGATGAAGGCAGTCCAGCACCAATCTTACTTGCCATGGCTCAATGTTATGGGATCCTGGGAGTTTGTAGTCTCTTAGGATCGAGGCAAACTACAACTCCCATTATCCCCTAGCATTGAGCCATTGTAGTTCAAGGAGTGTCAATCAAACTGCATCCATTCAGCAGTCAAATTACAACTCCCATTGTCCCCTATCATTGAGCCATGGTAATTCAAGGGGTGTCAATCAAACTTCACCCATTCATCAGTCAAACTACAATACCCATTTTTTCCTAGCATTGAGTCATGGTAGTTTAAGGGGTGTCAATCAAACTGCACCCATTCAGCAGTCAAACTACAACTCCCATTCTCCCCTAGGACTGAACCATTGTAGTTCAAAGGGCATCAATCAAACTGCATCCATTCAGCAATCAAACTACAACTCCCTAGTATTCAGCCATTGTAGTTCAAGGGGCGTCAATCAAACTGCATCCATGCAACAGTCAAACTGCAACTCCCATTCTCCTCTAGGATTGAGCCATTTTAGTTCAAAGGGCATCAATCAAACCGCATCTATTCATCAGTCAAACTACAACTCCCATTGTCCCCTAGGATTGAGCCATGGTAGTTCAAGGGGAGTCAATCAAACTGCATCCATTCATCAGTCAAACTACAACTCCCATTGTCCCCTAGGATTGAGCCATGGTAGTTCAAGGGGAGTCAATCAAACTGCATCCATTCATCAGTCAAACTACAACTCCCATTGTCCCCTAGCATTGAGCCATGGTAGTTCAAGGGGTGTCAACCAAACTGCATCCGTTCAACAGTTAAGCTCTGTGTTTCCATACAAATCTAGGAGCCCATATATTATTACGTTTACGTTTGTTTATATCCAGTTTTTGAGCTGTTGTGAGCTTTCCGGGCTGTCTGGCCATGTTCCAGAAGCATTCTCTCCTGACGTTTCACCTGTATGTCTGGCAGCCATCCTCAGAGGTTGTGAGGTCTGTTGGAAACTAGGAAAATGGGGTTTATATATCTATGGAATACTGTCCATGGTGGGAGAAAGAACCCAGGCAGTGAGAAGCCAGGCCTTGAAACTGCAAGGCCATTAAATGCTAATCAAGGTAGGTGGCCAATGGCAACATACACACTTGCCTCAAGCACACAAGAGTTCTTTCTCCCACCTTAAAACATTATTACACAGATATATATATATATATATATATATATATATATATATATATATATATAAACCCACTTGCCTAGTTTCCAACAGACCTCACAACCTCTTAGGATGGCAGCCACAAATGCAGGCAAAACGTCAGGAATGAATGCTTCTGGAACATGGCCAGACAGCCCGCAAAACTCACAGCAAGGCCAGTGATTCCAGCCGTGAAAGTCTCCACAAGGAGTGCAGATTGACACCTCTTTCACTTCCCTGGCTCAATGCTATGGGACTTTGGGAGTTGTAGTTCGGTGAGGCATGACACTGCTTTAAGGTTTGAGGAATGTGGCTGAAAATGAAGGGACAACTCAGTCAGCAGAGAGGCACTTTGGCATACGGTCACTAAGAAGGGAAATCTTTGGCTGCAGTTTCACTTTTAAGGATGGAAAACAACCGATGTCTATGGTTTCCGTTTCATGTTGATTTGAAGTAATGGAAACTCCCCACCCAGTCCTCCACAAATTATATTTATCTGAACTCACTCCTGCTTTTCTCCCTTTACACAACTTGTGAAAGAGCTTACTACTTACTTACTTACTTACTTAGGCGATCCCTTGTTGTCTGAGTAGGATAGTCTTCCAGGATCAGTGTTCTGGTGGGTCTGTAGGAGACTGTGGAGCCCTATTCTTGACCTGCGTCTTCTTCCACGTTGAGGGCATCGGTTTCCAGGTGGAAGGCGGTCTCAGTCAGGGTTGGCTTGACGCGCCTTCCTCTTGGCATGTTTCTCTCTTTCGCCCTCCATTCGTGCCTCTTCAAATTCTGCAGCACTGCTGGTCACAGCTGCCCTCCAGCTGGAGCGCTCAAGGGCCAGGGCTTCCCAGTTCTCAGTGTCTATGCCAGAGTTTTTAAGGTTGGCTTTGAGAAAATCTTTCAATCTCTTTTCCTGTCCTCCAGCATTCCATTTTCCATTCTTGAGTTCGGAGTAGAGCAACTGCTTTGGGAGACAGTGGACGGGCATCCGGACAACGTGGAGTTGATGGCGGAGGACCATCGCTTCAATGCTGGTGGTCTTTGCTTCTTCCAACACGCAGACGTTTGTCCGCCTGTCTTCCCAAGAGATTTGCAGGATTTTCCGGAGGCAGCGCTGATGGAATCGTTCCAGGAGTTGCATGTGACGTCTGTAGACAGTCCACGTCTCACAGGCATATAGCAGGGTTGGGAGGACAATAGCTCTATAAACAAGCACCTTGGTATCCCTACGGATGTCCCGGTCCTCAAACACTCTCTGCTTCATTTGGAAAAACGCTGCACTTGCAGAGCTCAGGCGGTGTTGTATTTCGTGTCGATGTTGACTTTGGTGGAGAGGTGGCTGCCAAGGTAGGGAAATGGTCAACATTTTCTAATGTTACACCATTAAGCTGTATCTCTGGCATTGGAGAGGGGTTGGCTGGTGACTGCTGGAACAGCACTTTGGTTTTCTCGATGTTCAATGACAGGCCGAGTTTCTCGTATGCTTCTGCGAAGGTGTTTAGAGTGGCTTGTAGATCTTCTTCTGAATGCGCACAGACGACATTGTCATCAGCATACTGGAGTTCTATAACAGATGTTGTTGTAACCTTGGTTTTGGCTTTCAGTCTGCTGAGGTTGAATAGCTTGCCATCTGTCCGATAGATGATTTCCACTCTGGTGGGAAGCTTCCCATCAACAAGGTGAAGTATCATAGCAATGAAGATGGAGAATAGAGTTGGGGCAATAACACATCCCTGTTTGACACCCGATTCCACCTTAAATGGGTCCCAATACTGTCCAAGACTGTTGCCATCATGTCATCATGGAGGAGCCGCAGGATGTTCACAAATTTGTGAGGGCACCCGATTTTTTGGAAGATGGTCCAGAGAGCGCTGCGATTCACTGTGTCGAATGCCTTTGCAAGGTCAATGAATGCCATGTACAGAGGTTGATTTTGCTCCCTGCATTTTTCTTGGAGCTGTCGTGCAGTGAAGATCATGTCCACTGTTCCTCTGGAGGGCAGAAGCCATTCTGGGATTCTGGGAGGGTGTCTTCTGAGAGGGGTAGAAGGCGGTTTGCAAGGATTCTTGCGAGGATTTTCCCAGCTGAGGTTAGAAGGGAGATACCTCGATAGTTTCCGCAGTCTGTTCTTTCCCCTTTTTTGAAGAGGGTGATGATGGTGGCATCCTTGAAATCTGCTGGGATTTTCTCGGTCACCCACACTTTTTCTATGAGCTGGTGGAGTTGTGTCAGCTCAGGTCCTCCCTCTTTAAAGATTTCAGCAGGGATCCCATCAGGTCCGCTGGCTTTGTTATTTTTTTGTTGGCTGATGGCATTGCTGACTTCTTCCAAACTAGGCAGTGCTGCAAGCTCATCCCTGGTTTGTTGTTGCGGGATTTGTGAGAGAACCTCTTCGGCCACATTGGAGCTGTGATTCAGGAGGCTTTGGTAGTGTTCTTTCCAACGTAGTGCAATTGATTTTTTGTCCTTCAGAAGTTTGGTTCCATCTGATGAGCGTAGAGGATGTATGCCATGGTTTCTTGGTCCATAGATGACCTTTGTGGCTTTGAAAAATCCCTGAGCATTATGGGTATCTGCCAGGTGTTGGATTTCTTCAGCCTTCTTTGTCCACCAGATGTTCTTGAGTTCTCTTGTCCTTCTTTGGACCTCAGCTTTTGCACTGGCGTAGATCTTTTTCTTAGCAACACAGTTGATGTCTCTCTGCCATGCTTGGAAGGCTTTCCTTTTCTTGTCAATTAGCTGTTGGATCTCGATGTCATTTTCATCAAACCAGTCTTGATGTTTCTTGGTTTGATATCCAATAGTTTCTTCGCAGGCTGTGATGATGGAGGTCTTCAGTTTGTTCCAATGTTCCTCAACATTTTCGGTGTTCTGTGGGTAGATGGTCCTTGAGTGCTGTTTGGAGAAGGGCTCGTTTGGAGGGCTCCTGAAGGGCTTGGGTGTTCATTTTGCGCCTTGTCTTTCTTCCTTGGAGCCTGCGCTTGGGGGCGATCTTGATAGCCATCGTGGATCAGATTAGCCTGTGGTCTGTCCAGCAGTCGTCAGCACCTGTCAGGGACAACTCAGTCAGCAAAGAGGCACTTTGGCATACGTTCACTAGAAAAGGAAGTCTTTGGCTGCAGTTTCACTTTTAAGGATGGAAAACAACAGATTTCTATGGTTATTTTAAGTAATGGAAACTCCCCACCCAGTCCTCCACAAATTATATTTATCTGAGCTCACTCCCGCTTTGCTCCCTTTACACAACTTGTGAAAGAGCAGAAATGCAGGGTAAGAAATGCTCCAACATACATGTGAATGTATTTCATTCGGATGTTTGTAATGTCCCGACTGTGATTTGCAGTCTTCCTATTTGAAAAGGGAATGGAATTGTGCTTCAGACACAAAAATGTAAATGAATATGTAATTTAGGGTGTATCTACACTATGGAATTAACATAATAATAATAATAATAATAATAATAATAATAATAATAATAATGTTGAAGGCTTTCATTGCCGGAATCACTGGGTTGTTGTAGGTTTTTTCGGGCTATATGGCCATGTTCTAGAGGCATTCTCTCCTGATGTTTCGCCTGCATCTATGGCAAGCATCCGCAGAGGTAGTGAGGTCTGTTGGAACTAGGAAAGGGTTTATATATCTGTGGAATGACCAGGGTGGGACAAAGAACTCTTGTCTGCTGGAGCTGGGTGTGAATGTTTCAACTGACCACCTTGATTAGCATTTGATGGCCTGGCAGTGCCTGGGGCAATCTTTTGTTGAGAGGTGATTAGATGTCCCAGATTGTTTCCTCTCTGTTGTTTTGCTGTTGTAATTTTAGAGTTTTTTAATACTGGTAGCCAGATTTTGTTCATTTTCATGGTTTCCTCCTTTCTGTTGAAATTGTCCACATTCTTGTGGATTTCAATGGCTTCTCTGTGTAGTCTGACATGGTGGTTGTGAGAGTGGTCCAGCATTTCTGTGTTCTCAAATAATATGCTGTGTCCGGGTTGGTCCATCAGGTGCTCTGCTATGGCTGACTACTCTGGCTGAAGTAGTCTGAGGATGATTGCCATAGATGCAGGCAAAACGTCAGGAGAGATTGCCTCTTGAACATGGCCTTATAGCCCGAAAAAACCTAAAACAACCCAGTAATAATAATAATAATAATAATAATAATAATAATAATAATAATAGTTGAACTGTAAAGGCTCTGGCATCACCCAGTCCAGGTGGTCCCAGTGGTCACTGGCGCACTGGGTGCCATGCCAAAAGATCTCAGCCAGCATTTGGAAACAATAAACATCGACAAAATCACTATCTGTCAACTGCAAAAGGCCACCTGACTTGGATTTGCGCGCATTATTTGGAAATACATCACACAGTCCTACACGCTTGGGAAGGGTTCGACTTGTGATTTTGTGATATGAAATCCAGCATGACCTTGGAGGTGCCTACAGACAACGCCAGCTCTTGGGCTTAGAAATGGATATGAGCACCAGAGTCTGGACTTAATGTCAAGGGAAAACCTTTATCTTTAAATGATTTTTTTAAAAAAAAAAACCTACCAAAGCTTTAAAAGACCAATAAGACATTCTCAAATGTTCTTTGGAAGCTTTGAGAGGCAGGAAGTAGACAGGAAGGGCTCTCCTTCCAAGGAAATGATGGATTTGTATATGCAAATGACTTATTGAGCAATGTTTCCATTCCAGATAAATGAGCAGAAGAAGGAAGAGAAAGATGGGGCTGGTCAAAAGCAAGAGCGCGTCGCCAAAGGCCACCGAGGACGTCCAAATAATGGAGGACCTGAAATACCTTCCGGATGAGCTGCTGCTGCTGATCCTGAGCTGGGTGCCCGGCCGGAGCCTGGTGAGGGAGTGCCGCTTGGTGTGCCGCAAGTGGAGGGACCTCATTGACAAGCCCACCCTTTGGAGGCTCAAGTGCCAACGGGACCCTCTTAGCAAGGCGGCCGTGGAAGCCGTCCAGGGCGCTTCCCAAATAGACTGGCGCCGGATCAGCATCCTGAGACCTTTTGGGAGGAATCTGATCAAGAACCCCTGCGGAAAGAGTGAGTCAACAAGAGAACTCAATAGCAAGGTGCAGCGAGGGTATTACAGGTCATCCAGTCAATCAGAAGATACAATCCAAGCCCTCCCAACAGATAGCCATCCAGCCTCTATTGAATAATAGAATACTAGACCTGCAAGAGATGCCACAAGCTATCAAGTACAATCCTACCTTGCCAGACAGGATGACACAACTGAAGCCCTCCAAACAGATGGCCTCCCAGCCTCTGCTGAATCATAGGTTCCTAGAGTTGGAAGGGGCCCCAAAGGTCATCCAGTCCAACCTCTTTCTGCCATGCAGGAAGACACAATCAAACCTTTCCCAATACATGGAAATCTGGTCTGTACTTATGATTCAACAGAGGCTGACTGGCCATCTGTTGGGAGGGCTTGGATTGTGCCTTGCCTGGCAGAATAGGGTTGGATTGGGATGACCTTTGTGATCTCTTCCCAGTAGTCTATGGTCAATCACAGACCAGATTACCTTTGCGATCCTTTCTCAGTAGTCTATAGTTAATCCAACCCTATTCTGCCAGGCAGGGCACAATCCAAGCCCTCCCGACAGATGGCCAGTCAGCCTCTGTTGAATCATAGGATCCTAGATCCTAGAGGTGGAAGGGACCCCAAAGGTCATCCAGTGAATCAGAAGATACAATCCAAGCCCTCCCGACAGATGGCCACTCAGCCTCTGTTGAATCATAGGATCCTAGATCCTAGAGGTGGAAGGGACCCCAAAGGTCATCCAGTCAATCAGAAGATACAATCCAAGCCCTCCCGACAGATGGCCACTCAGCCTCTGTTGAATCATTGGATCCTAGAGTTGAAAGTGACCTCAAAGGTCATCCAGTCCAATCTCTTTCTGCTGGGCAGGGCACAATCTAATCCTTCCTGACAGATGGCCATCCAATTCTGCTTAAAGGCCACCAAAGACTTTTAGTGTTGAATAGACTATTCAGTCCTACCCCAATCTGCCAGGCAGCAATACACAATTTAAGCACTCCCAACAGATGGCCATCCGGCCTCTATTGAATCATAGAATACTAAACCTGGAAGAGATCTCACAGGCTTTCTAGTCCAACTTCCTTCTGCCAGGCAGAAATACACAATCCAAGCCAACCAGCCTCTGTTGATTCCTAGAATATGGAGGAGATCCTATGGGCTATCAAGTCCAATCCCATCTTGCCAGATAGGATGACACAATTGAAGCCCTCCCAACAGATAGCCATCCAACCTCTATTGAAAAATAATATATTAAACTTGGAAGAGATCCCACAGGCTATCAAGACCAGTCCCACCTTGCCAGACGGGATGACACAATTGAAGCCCTCCCAACAGATGGCCATCCAGCCTTCACTAGGCAGTGTATTCCTCTCTCAAATGGCTCTTCCTACTATTGGAATCCATTGTGTCCAGTCTCTGGAGCAACAGTAAACATTAAGCGTGCTCTCTCCTCAGTATGGCTTCCTATCAAATATGTAAACAAACATGGCTCTCCCTGAGAGGGATTCATACTTTTTAGGCCACTGACCCTTTTGGTTGCCCTTCTCGCTTGTGTTCCCAGAGCAGTTTCAGCACTGGAAGATTGAAAACGGAGGCGACGGCTGGAAAGTGGAGGGCAACCGGGACCGTGTGGAAGGAGCCGAGGCCCAGACCTGCTTCGTGTCTTCATATGGGTGAGTTGTACCACGTTACCCCAAATCGGGCATTGACACCTTAATGTTGCTGGGTGCATCTACACCAGGCCCTCTCAGGTGTTTTGGACTTCAACTCCCACAATTCCTAACAGCCCTACAATATCGAAATAATATATGAGGGTTGAATGAAAAGTCATGCCTCCACCTTCGTAACTCCTCAACAGATGGCAGTACTGGTATGCGGCAGATACTGGCTTGTTCAGTAGACTCTCCTCTACAGTTCCGTTTTGGCAGGAAGCCTTAGCGTTGGACGGTTGTGTTGTTAAAGTGAGAAGTATGGAACCCTGTGCAGACGGTCGGGCAATCAACTTAAGCAATGTATGCAGCAGGTACTGGCTTGTTCAGGAGATTACAGTTCCATTTTGGTGGGAAGCCTTAGTGTTGAATGATTGTGTTGTTAAAGTGCAAAGTATGGAACCCTGCGCAGATGGTCGGTCAATGCGACTTAAGCAATGTATGCGGCAAGTACTGGCTTGTTCAGTAGACTCTCGTCTACAGTTCCGTTTTGGCAGGAAGCCTTAGCATTGAACGGTTGTGTTGTTAAAGTGCGAAGTATGGAACCCTGCGCAGATGGTCGGTCAATGCAACTTAAGCAACGCATGCCGCAGATACTGGCTTGTTCAGTAGACTCTCCTCTACAGTTCCGTTTTGGCAGGAAGCCTTAGCATTGAACGGTTGTGTTGTTAAAGTGCAAAGTATGGAATCCTGCTCAGATGGTCGGTCAATGCGACTTAAGCAACGTATGCGGCAGGTACTGGCTTGTTCAGTAGACTCTCCTCTGCAGTTCCATTTTAATGGGAAGCCTTAGCATTGAACATTTGTGTTGTTAAAGTGCGAAGTATGGAACCCTGCACAGATGGGCAGTCAATGCGATTTAAGCAATGTATGCGGTAGATACTGGCTTGTTCAGTAGACTCCCCTCTACAGTTCCGTTTTGACAGAAAGCCTTAGCATTGAACGGTTGTGTTGTTAAAGTGGGAAGTATGGAACCCTGCACAGATGGGCAGTCAATGCGATTTAAGCAACGTATGCAGCAGGTACTGGCTTGTTCAGTAGACTCTCCTCTACACTTCTGTTTTGGCGGGAAACCTTAGCGTTGGACGGTTGTGTTGTTAAAGTGCAAAGTATGGAACCCTGTGCAGATGGTCGGTCAATGCGACTGAAGCAACGTGCAGTCATCGAATTCTTGACAGCAAAAGGTGTCACCCCAAAGGAGATCCATCAGAGAATGCAAGCTGTTTATGGTGATTGTGTTGATGTGAGTACTGTGCGTCGTTGGGTGAGTAAGTTTAAAGATTTCAACCTTTTGGCTTGTGAAACTGGGTGGTTGCTGTCACAGGACGTCCAACTCTTTGTTTGTCACGCGAGTCAGATGTTCCCACCTCAATATCTTTAAATTTTCTCACCCAATGATGCACGGTACTCATACCAACACAATCACTATAAACAGCTTGCATTATCTGATAAATCTCCTTTGGGTTGACAGCTTCAGCTGTCAAGAATTCATGTTGCTTAAGTCGCATTGACTGACCGTCTGTGCAGGGTTCCATACTTCGCACTTTAACAACAAAACTGTTTAATGCTAAGGCTTCCCACCAAAATGGAACTGTAGAGGAGAGTCTACTGAACAAGCTAGTACCTGCTGCATACGTTGCTTAAATTGCATTGACTGACTGTCTGTGCAGGGTTCCATACTTCGCACTTTAACAACACAATCATTTAATGCTAAGGCTTCCCGCCAAAATGGAACTGTGGAGGAGAGCCTACTGAACAAGCCAGTACCTGCTGCATAGGTTGCTTAAATCACAGTTTAACAGCACAACTTTCCAATGCTAAGACTTCCCGCCAAAATGGAACTGTAGAGGAGAGTCTACTGAACAAGCCAGTACCTGCCGCAGACCAGTACTGCCATCTGTTGAGGAGTTACGAAGGTGGAGGCATTACTTTTCATTCAACCCTCGTAGTTTGACCCCACGTGAACTACTATGGCTCAGTGCTACGGAACTCTGGGAGTTGTAGTTTCACAACATCTTTGGCCTTCTCTGCCAAAGAGATTATGCAACTCACTAAAGTACATCTCCAAGGATTACAGAGCTTTGAGCCATGGCAGTTCAAGTGGGATCAATCTGCATCAATTCTGCAGTACAGACGCATCGAAACAAGGAATAGGTGTGCACAGGCTTGCAAAGTTTGCGAAACCTTTACCATTTTGGCCTTTTTTTCCTCCCAAAGATGGTGCGTCAAATATCAGGTGGTTGACTTGCTGCAAGAAGGCTTAGGAGAAGAGCTGATGGACGCCTTCCAACCTGACATCTGTATTGCTGACTGGTGAGTTCTGCAACGCCATCTACACTCTGGAACGAATGCAGTTTGGCACCACTTTGAACTGCCCTAACCCTAACCGTAACATTATTTTGTGGCTACTTCACAACTATCATTTTGCCACTGATAGGAATCGTCATGTAAATATCTGAAATGCAGGAAGTATTTTCATTCACTGGACCAAATTTGGCACAAATACCCAATACGTCCACATTTGAATACTGGTGGTGCTTGAGATTGAATTTGTCATTTGGGAGTTGTAGTTGCTGGGATTTATAGTTCACCTAAAATAAAAGAGCATTCTGAATTCCACCAATGATAGAATTGGGCTAAACTTGGCACACAGAACTCCCATGATCAACAGAAAATACTGGAAGTCTTTGGTGGTGAGTTTGGGAGTTGTAGTTCACCTACATCCAGAGAGCATTGTGGACTCAAAAAATGATGGATCTGGACCAAACTTGGCACTGATACTCAATATGCCCAAATGTGAACACTGGTGGAGTGTGGGAAAAATAGACCTTGACATTTGGGAGTTCTTGTTGCTGGGATGTATAGTTCACTTACAATAAAGGAGCATTCTGAACCCCACCAATGATAGAATTGAACCAAACTTGGCACACAGAATTCTTGTGACCGACAGAAAATGCTGGAAGGGTTTGGTGGGCCTTGACCTTGAGTTTGGGAGTTGTAGTTCACCTACATTCAGAGAGCACTGTGGACTCAAACTATGATGGATCTGGACCAAACTTGGCATGAATACTCAATATTCCCAAATGTGGAGTTTGTGGAAAATAGACCTTGACATTTGGGTGATGGATCTGGACCAAACTTGGCACGGATACTCAATATGCCCAAATGTGAATACTGGTGGGGTTTGGGGAAAATAGACCTTGACATTTGGGAGTTGTAGTTGCTGGCATATATAGTTCACCTACAATCAAAGACCATTCTGAATTCCGCCAATGATATAATTGGGCTAAACTTGGCACACAGAACTCCCATCACCAACAGAAAATACTGGAAGGGTTTGGTGGGCCTTGACCTTAAGTTTTGGAGTTGTAGTTCCCCTACATCCAGAGAGCACTGTGGACTCAAACAATGATAGATCTGGACCAAACTTGGCATGAATACCCAATATTCCCAAATGTGGAGTTTGTAGAAAATAGACCTTGCCATTTGGGAGATGTAGTTGCTGGGATTTTTAGTTCACCTACAGTCAAAGCGCATTCTGAACTCCACCAACGATGGAATTGAACTAAACTTGGCACACAGAACTCCCATCACCAACAGAAAATACTGGAAGGGTTTGGTGGTCATTGACTTTGAGTTTTGGAGTTATAGTTCACCTCCATCCAGAGAGCATTGTGAACTCAAAAAATGATGGATCTGGACCCAACTTGGCACAAATGCTCAATATGCCCAAATGTGAACACTGGTGGACTTTGGGGAAAATAAACCTTGACATTTGGGAGTTGTAGTTGCTGGGATTTATAGTTCTCCTTCAATCAAAGAGTACTCTGAACTACACAAATGATGAAATTGAATCAAACTTGGCACACGGAACTCCCATGACCAACAGAAAATACTAGAAGGGTTTGATGGGCATTGACCTGGAGTTTGTTTTTGACATTTGGGAGTTGTATTTGTTGGGATTTATAGTTCACCTACAATCAAAGAGCATTCTGAACTCCAACAATGATAGAATTGGGCTAAACTTGGCACACAGAACCCCCATGATTGACAGAAAATACTGGAAGGGTTTGGTGGGCCTTGACCTTAAGTTTTGGAGTTGTAGTTCACCTACATCCAGAGAGCACTGTGGACTCAAACAATGATGGATCCGGACCAAACTTGACACAGATACTCAATATGCCCAAATGTGAACACTGGTGGAGAAAATAGACCTTGACATTTGGGAGATGTAGTTGCTGGGATTTTTAGTTCACCTACAATCAAGGAGCATTCTGAACCCCACCAATGATGGAATTGAACCAAACTTGGCACACCAAACTCCCATGACCAACAGAAAACTCTAGAAGTGTTTGGTGGGCCTTGACCTTGAGTTTGGGAATTGTAGTTCACCTACATCCAGAGAGCACTGTGGACTCAGACAATTATGGATCGGGACCAAACTTGGCAAGAATACTCAATATGCCCAAATGTGAACACTGGTGGAGTTTGGGGGAAAATAGACCTTGACATTTGGGACTTGTAGTTGCTGGGATTTATAGTTCACCTACAATCAAAGAGCATTATGACCTCACCAATGATAGAATTGAATCAAACTTGACACACAGAACCCCCAATACTGTTTTCTGATGGTCTTTGGTGACCCCTCCGATGACTCCTTGTGACCCCCTCACCCGGGGTCCTGACCCCCAGGTTGAGAAAAACTGTCAAACTACAATCTCAAGATTGTATGTTTTCTGATAGTCTTTGGTGACCTCCCTGACACCCTCTCAGGGGTCCCGACCCCCAGGTTGAGAAACACTACTATAGACCTTGCCATACTACAATCCCAAGATTCCATATAATTGATCCATAGGTGTTCAAGTGGAGTCAAACTGCATTCATTCTGTAGAGTGGACGCACTCTTAGCTATTCCTAGCGCAAAATGCTCTCTGTCCTCCGCAGGTGGGGCGCCCGGGACGACTGTGGGTGCATCTACAAAATCAAAGTCCACCTCCTGGCCGCTGACCGGACCTCGGTCATCTCCAGCTTCACAGCAAAGCCAGATGGCATCCCGCAATGGAACAACGGCAAATATCAACAGGTGCTCTTTGCCGTCACCGTTTGAACTGCCACAACTCAGTGCGATGGGATCCTGGGAGTTGTAGATTAGTCTTCCCTGCTCAAGAGTGCTGCGGCACCACCAACCTACATATCCCAGGAATCCATTGCATGGAGCTGCGGCAAAATGCATTTATTCTATAGTGTAGATATGTCCCTTAGTAAAACTGCAATTCCTAGGATGCCATAACATTGAGCCATGGCAATTCACGTGATGCCCTTAGTAAAACTACAACTCCTTATTAAAACTACAACTCCCAGGATGCCATAACATTGAGCCATGGCGATTTATGTGACACCAAAATGCATTCATTCTACAGTGTAGATGTGCCCCTTAGTAAAACTACAACTCCTTAGTAAAACTACAACTCCCAGGATGCCATAACATTGAGCCATGGCAATTCACGTGATGCCAAAATGCATTCATTCCATAGTGTAGATGTGCCCCTTAGTAAAACTACAACTCCTTAGTAAAACTACAACCCCCAGGATGCCATAACATTGAGCCATGGCAATTCACATGATGCCCTTAGTAAAACTACAACTCCCAGGATGCCATAACATTGAGCCATGGCAATTCACATGATGCCAGAATGCATTCATTTTATAGTGTTGATGTGCCCCGTAGTAAAACTACAACTCCTTAGTAAAACTACAACTCCCAGGATGCCATAGCATTGAGCCATGGCGATTTATGTGACACCAAAATGCATTCATTCTACAGTGTAGATGTGCCCTGTAGTAAAACTACAATGCCTTAGTAAAACTACAACTCCCAAGATGCCATAACATGGAGGCATGGCAATTCACATGATGCCAAAATGCATTCATTCTATTGTGTCGATGTGCCCCGTAGTAAACCTACAACTCCTTAGTAAAACTACAACTCCCAGGATGCCATAGCATTGAGCCATGGCGATTTATGTGACACCAAAATGCATTCATTCTACAGTGTAGATGTGCCCCTTAGTAAAACTACAACTCCTTAGTAAAACTACAACTCCCAGGATGCCATAACATTGAGCCATGGCAATTCACGTGATGCCAAAATGCATTCATTCTATAGTGTAGATGTGCCCTATAGTAAAACTACAATGCCTTAGTAAAACTACAACTCCCAAGATGCCATAACATGGAGGCATGGCAATTCACATGATGCCAAAATGCATTCATTCTATTGTGTCGATGTGCCCCGTAGTAAACCTACAACTCCTTAGTAAAACTACAACTCCCAGGATGCCATAGCATTGAGCCAAGGCAATTTATGTGACATCAAAATGTACTCATTTTATAGTGTAGATATGGCCTTTAGTGACACTACAACTCCTAGGACACCATAACATTGAGCCATGGCAATTCACATGATGCCAAAATGCATTCTATTAGTGTAGATGTGCCCCTTGGTAAAACTACAACTTGCAGGATGCTATAGCATTGAGCCATAGTCATTCTTGTGACACCAAAATGCATTCACTCTGTAGTATAGATGTGCCCCTTAGTAAAACTACAACTCCTGCGGAAGCAGTACCTATTGATCTACTCACATTGGCATGTTTTCAAACTTCTAGGTTGGCAGAAGCTGGGGCTAACAGCGGGAGCTCACCCCACTCCCTGGATTTGAACCGCCGACGTTTCAGTCAGCCATAGCATTGGGCCATGGCAATTTATGTGATGCCAAAAATACACTCATTCTGTAGTGTAGATGTGCCCCTTGGTAAAACTACAACTCCCAGAAAACCATAGCATTGAGCCAAAAATGCACTCATTCTATTAGTGTAGAATGAGTGCATTCCCTTAGTAAAGCTACAACTCCCAGGATGCCATACCATTGAGTCATGGCAATATATGCGATGGCCAAATGCATTCATTCTGTCCGTTGCAAAATGCATTTGTTCTATAGTGTTGATGTGCCCCTTTGTAAAACTACAACTCCTTAGTACAACTACAACTCCCAGGATGACATAACATTGAGCCATGGCAATTCATGTGATGCCAAAATGCATTCATTCTATAGTGTAAATGTGCCCCTTAGTAAAACTACAACCCCTTAGTAAAACTACAACTCCCAGGACGCCATAGAATTGAGCCATGGCAATTCATGGGATGCCAATATTAATTTATTCTATTTGTGGCAAAATGCATTTATTCTATAGTGTAGAACCTGTAGATTCACCCCTTAGTAAACTACAACTCCCAGGACGCCATAGCATTGAGCCATGGCAATTAATGTTGTCTCCACTTGCAATATTTCTACAGTGCAGATGCACCCAAGGATTTGGGTTAGAGCTAAGAAATCCAGGCTGATCCAATGTGGCAAACTTGCCCGACATCCAATCCGGCCCCTTTTCACCTCATTCTCTTTCCCTTTGCAGGTGTCCCACGTTTTCCGGAAATACGGCCCCGGAGTCCGCTATATCCATTTCCGGCATGCAGGGAAGGATACCCAGTTCTGGGCAGGACATTATGGAGCGAGAATCACAAACTCAACGGTCAAAGTTAAATTCTCCTCGAAGCCCCTGGGTGCATCCACGCCGTCACATTAATGCAGTTTGGCACCACTGTAACTTCCATGGCATTGTGCTTTGGAGTCCCGGATGTTGTGGTTTCCCAAGGTCTTGAGCCTCCTCTGCTAAAGAGTGTGGTTATTTTAGCAAACTACATCTCCCAGGGCTCCATAGCATTGAGCCATAGTGGTTCAAGTGGTGCCAGTGTGGATTCCTACAGTGTGGACGCACCCTTATAAAGTGGAGTTAAAATGTAACTAGAATATGTTGTTTGTTATACGACTACGTGGTACGTATTGCAATTTTGTAATGCTGCAAAGCCCTTTGCATCAGCCAGAATTTTATGTGTTTCGTGAAGTAGTTTATGTTGTACTCCAGGCTTGGAAACACCTATAACCACCGCACCACACAAGAGTGCACGTGTTGTGACTCAGCTTGACTCTGAAGCTGAGCTCTGTGGTCCTTCTGAGCCATAATTCCTACAGGATGATGATGAGGATGATGGGCTACAGATTTCTCTACATGCTTCATATAGGGCTGACGGTGGGGCTGCTGAAGGAGAAACAGCAAGTCAGTTCCCAGGGGAAAGGAATGTTAGTGAGACTGATAACGAGAGTGAAATCCCACACAGCCAGGTGGAGATGTCTTTTCCACCCCACGGTGATCCTGTCCAGCTGGACCAAGATAAGGGGTTACATAGCCTTGAAGATAATGAATTAATGAGCAGGCAAGATAGTTTGCAATTAAGGCTCCGGAGAAGCACTTGCTTGGTTAGCAAGCGAGAAGCCAAGGGGGCCAAAGGTCAACGCAATGCGTTCATGTAGCCGACAAGCAGGGAATGTCAGTTCAACTTAGCTCTTTCCATGCAAACTTCTGTGGATTAACTTTGGCTTTTTAGCAGCATGCTTCTAGCTTCCTGACTCTGGGATTTGGGTCTTGTTCTCAACTGTTTTCCATGGACTCTTGTTTGACCATTGCTAAAGGATTATACTTCATGTTTTTGCCTTTGGATCTTGGGAACTTTGTCTTTGCATTTAAGCCTTTGTCCTGCCTATGGAACTTTTGCATTTCTTATACTTTGTTTTGATTTTGCCTTTTTCTCAATAAACTACAAAACCTACAGCTTTGGCGTGGAGCAAAGGGAAAACTACCCTGAGTTGCAACAGTATGAATATAAGCCAATTGTTTATTGTAAGGTAAAGGTAAAAACGTTATTGTAAAAACATATTAAAAAGCATATAAAATTAGGAATAAGAAAGGAAAATATATAAATCAAAAAGGTTTAGCAACAGGTGATAACCAAACAACAACAACAATAAACAACTTTATTTATACTCTGCCACCATCTCCCCAAAGGGCACTTGGGGCGGCTTACATGAGACCACGCCCATCAATACAGAAACACTGTCGGAACCCAGAAGCCTTTAAAGAGCCAGACTCAGTAATATGTCCAAAAGAAACAGTTTATTAAATCAAACAAAGGATTCAGAGACACTTACTTCAGTGCCTCTGGTCAAAACTGAAAAGCAGCAGCAAGTTTTAGCTCAAAATTAATTTAGAAAATAATCCGGATTAAACAGATATAATCCAGATTAAACTGGCTAGCGTCCAAAATCACCCGAAATAATGCAGTAGATAAAGAGCAAGCAAGACTCAGTAATATGTCCAAAAGAAACAGTTTATTAAATCAAACAAAGGACTCAAAGACACTTACTTCAGTGCCTCTGGTCAAAACAAAGCAAACAAAGGTCCGTGAAGCAAAAGCTGTCGTCAAAAGTACAGTATATTCTGGCGTATAAGACTACTTTTTAACCCAAGAAAATCTTCTCAAAAGTCAGGGGGCGTCTTATACGCGGGTGTAGTCTTATGCATGGGAGTCATCTTAACTCTATATTTTAACTGGAAAAGTTGGGGGTCGTCTTATATGCCCAGTCGTCTTATATGCCGGTATATACGGTAGTCCAAAGTCGAAGAAAGCCAAGTCCAAAGTTGCAAGGTTTCAAAGTCCACAAGGCAGCGTCGTCGTCTGGGGGTTGGTGCTCTGGGGGTTGGTGCTCCTCTCCATTTCTAGGCCCAAGAGCCGGCGTTGTCCATAGACACCCCCAAGGTCATGTGGCCAGCATGACTGCATGGAGCGCCATTACCTTCCCGTGGAAGCAGTACCTATTGATCTACTCACATTGGCATGTTTTCAAACTTCTAGGTTGGCAGAAGCTGGGGCTAACAGCGGGAGCTCACCCCACTCCCCGGATTTGAACCGCTGACCTTTCGGTCAGCAAGTTCACCAGCTCAGTGGTTTAACTCGCTGTGCCACAGACATAACGACTGTGGAAAAGGGAAAAGTCTGGATTATTGATGACAGTCGCATTGAGGAAAAACAACAGGAAAAACTCAGCTGCTATCAAGACCTCAAAATCGAACGGCAACGGCTGCGGCATCAACCAGTCCAGGTGGTCCAGTGGTCATGGGCACACTGGGTGCCGTGCCAAAAGATCTCAGCCGGCATTTGGAAACAATACTCATCGACAAAATCACGATCTGTCAACTGCTAAAGGCCACCTGACTTGGATCTGCGCGCATCATTCGGAAATACATCACACAGTCCTAGACGCTTGGGAAGGGTTCGACTTGTGATTTTGGGATACGAAATCCAGCATCGAGATCTCGTTTGCTGTGACATTCTGTGCTTTTGTGTCAATAATAATAATAATAATAATAATAATAATAGGTTCTTGTGGTTTTTTTCAGGCTATAGGGCCATGTTCTAGAGGCATTTCTCCTGATGTTTCGCCTGCATCTATGGCAAGCATCCTCAGAGGTGACCTCAGAGGTGACCACCTTGCCATAGATGCAGGCGAAACGTCAGGAGAAATGCCTCTAGAACATGGCCCTATAGCCCGAAAAAACCCACAAGAACCTAGTGATTCCAGCCATGAAAGCCTTCGACAATACAATAATAATAATAATAAATACATCACACAGTCCTAGACGCTTGGGAAGGGTTCGACTTGTGATTTTGGGATACGAAATCCAGCAGAGAGATCTCGTTTGCTGTGACGTACTGTGCTTTTGTGTCAATAGTAGTAGTAGTAGTAGTACTGAGAGCTAAATTGACAAAGAAAAAACATGGCTGTGGCTCACAAATGGGACTCTGAAAAAGGAGACAAAAGAGGGCCTGATTCTGGCAGCCCAAGAACAAGCCATTCGAACCAAGGCCATCAAAGCCAGAATTGAAAAGTCGACGAGAGATTCCAAGTGTAGACTTTGCAAGGGAGCAGGTGAAACAAATTAGCAAAATTTGATCCTCAGCTGCTGCAAGAAGATTGCGCAGACTGACTCCAAGCAGAGGCACAACATCTTTGCTCAGATGATTCATTGGAACCTGTGCCACAAACACCATCTGCCTGCGACAAAGAACTGGTGGGATCACAAGCTGGAAAAAGTTACAGAAAATGAACACGTCAAGCTACTCTGGGACTTCGGGATTCAGAGTTTTGGAGTATGGATCCTCGATGTTGCAATCCCAGGCGACAGCAGGATTTAAGAGAAAAAACTGGAAAAACTGACACAATATGAGGATTTAAAGATCGAACTGCAAAGACTCTGGCACAAGCCAGTCAAGGGGGTCCCAGTGGTGATCGGCACACTGGGTGCAGTGCCTCAAGACCTTGGCCTACACTTAAACACAATTGGCACTGACAAGATTACCATCTGCCAGCTGCAAAAGGCACCTTACTGGGATCTGCACACATTATTCGCCAATACATCACACAGTCCTAGACACTTGGGAAGTGTCCGACGTGTGATCCAAGTGCCTAAAGACCTTGGCCTGCACTTAAACACAATCGACGTGGACAAAATCATCACTTGTCAGCTGCAGAACGTCACCCTACTTGGATCAGCATGCATGATTCGCCGATACATCACACAGTCCTAGACACTTGTGAATTGTCTGACGTGTGTGATCCAATACAACAGCCAGAAGAGTGATCTTGTCTGCTGTGGACTCATCTTGTTGTGCTTCTAATAATAATAATAATAATAATAATAATAATAATAATAATAATAATAATAATTCAAATTGCAAAGATTCTGGTACAAGCCAGTCAAGGCGGTCCCAGTGGTGATTGGCACACTAGGTGCAGTACCTAAAGACCTTGGCCTACACTTAAACACAATCGACGTGGACAAAATCACCACTTGTCAGCTGCAGAAGGTCACCGGATCAGCACGCATGATGCGCCGATACATTGCACAGTCCTAGACACTTGGAAATTGTCCGACATGTGATCCAATAAAACAGCAAGCACACTATAGGGAGGGATCCACTTGAAATGCCATGGTTCAATGCTATGTAGCCATGGGAGTTGTAGTTCGGTGAGATATTTTGGGTGCATCAACATTGTGGAATGAACGCCGCCTGATCTGACTTGCACTGCTGTGGCTCAAAGCTATGGAGTCTTGGGAGCTGTAGTTTGCCAAAGCACCCACACTCTTTGGTTAGGGAGGCTCAAGACCTAGGGAAACTACAACTCCCAGGACTCCAAAGCATTGTGCCATGGCAGTTACAGTGGTGCCGAACTGGATTAATGCGACAGTGTGGCTGCATACAGGGGCTCCAAGGAGAATGTAACTATAGCCGATGAATGTCCTTGCCACGAATCGCTGAGATTCCCTGCGTGGCTGAAACGAATATAGCGGACTCCAGGGCCGTATTTCTGGAAAACGTAGGTCACCTGCAAAAGGGAAACAAAACGGGAAAGAAAACTCTGGGAGTTGTAGCTTTACTAAGGGGCACATCTAAATAGTCTAGCTTGCTGTTGACCTATGCAGCCTGAAAGACAGTTGCATCTGTTAAGTAGGAAATTTAGGTACCGCTTTATGCTGGAAATCACTACTGACTAGGAAGTCATGAGTTTGAAATCAGCCCGTGTCGGAGTAAGCTCCCAACCATAAATAGTCTAGCTTGCTGTCGACCTTTGCAGCGCAAAAGACAGTTGCATCTGTCAAGTAGGAAATTTAGGTACCGCTTTATGCTGGAAATCACTACTGACTGAGAAGTCATGAGTTTGAAGCCAGCCCGTGTCGGAGTAAACTCCCAACCATAAATAGTCTAGCTTGCTGTCGACCTATGCAGCCCGAAAGACAGTTGCATCTGTCAAGTAGGAAATTTAGGTACCGCTTTATGTTGGAAATCACTACGGACTGAGAAGTCATGAGTTTGAAGCCAGCCCGTGTCGGAGTAAGCTCCCAACCATAAATAGTCTAGCTTGCTGTTGACCTATGCAGCCTGAGAGACAGTTGCATCTGTCAAGCAAGAAATTTAGGTACCGCTTTATGCTGGAAATCACTACTGACTGAGAAGTCATGAGCTTGAAGCCAGCCCGGGTCGGAGTAAGATCCCAAGCATAAATAGTCTAGCTTGCTGTTGACCTATGCAGCCTGAAAGACAGTTGCATCTGTCAAGCAAGAAATTTAGGTACCGCTTTATGCTGGAAATCACTACTGACTAGGAAGTCATGAGTTTGAAACTAGCCCGGGTCAGAGTAAGCTCCCAACCATAAATAATCTAGCTTGCTGTTGACCTATGCAGCCTGAAAGACAGTTGCATCTGTCAAGTAGGAAATTCAGGTACCGATTTATGCTGGAAATCACTACTGACTAAGAAGTCATGAGTTCGAAGCCAGCCTGGGTCAGAGTAAGCTCCCAACCATAAATAGTCTAGCTTGCTGTCGACCTTTGCAGCCTGAAAGACAGTTGCACCTGTCAAGTAGGAAATTCAGGTACCGCTTTATGCTGGAAATCACTAATGACTGAGATGTCATGAGATTGAAACCAGCCCGGGTCAGAGTAAGCTCCCAACCATAAATAGTCTAGCTTGCTGTCGACCTATGCAGCCTGAAAGACAGTTGCATCTGTCAAGTAGGAAATTTAGGCACCGCTTTATGCTGGAAATCACTACTGACTAATAAGTCATGAGATTGAAACCAGCCCGGGTCGGAGTAAGCTCCCAACCATAAATAGTCTAGCTTGCTGTCGACCTATGCAGCCTGAAAGACAGTTGCATCTGTCAAGTAGGAAATTTAGGCACCGCTTTATGTGGGGAGGCTAAGTTAACTAATTTACGACGCCATAAAAATCTCCAGCAATGTGCAAAAGAATGAGGAAATACTTCATCAGTGTCACAAATGGACAGTGAAGCAACAGCTCCCCTGGTGGCCGGAATTTAAGCATACCCTCATGAAGCTGGAAAGTTAAATAGCCTCTGTGTGTCCTTCTATATATGTTGTGTGTCTACGGCATTGAATGTTGCCATGTATATGTGGATTGTGATCCGCTCGGAGTCCCCTCCGGGGTGAGAAGGGCGGAATATAAATACTGTAAATAAATAATAAATAAAATATTAACTCAATGCTATGGCATCCTGGGAGTTGTAGTTTTACTAAGGGGCACATTGACACTATAGAATACATGCATTTTGTAATGGATAGAATAAATACATTTTGACATCACACATAGCTCAATGCTATGGCATCCTGGGAGTTGAAGTTTTATCAAGGGGCACATCAACACTATAGAATATATGCATTTTGCCATGGATAGAATTATTTTGGCATCACATGAATTGCCGTGGCTCAATGCTATGGTGTCCTGGGAGTTGTAGTTTTACCAAGGAGCACATCAACACTATAGAATACAAGCATTTTGCCTTGGATAGAATGAATACATTTTGGCATCACACGAATTGCCATGGTTCAGTGCTGTGGCATCATAGGAGTTGTAGTTTTACTAAGGGGCACATCTACACCATACAATAAATGCATTTTGCCATGGATAGAAGGAATGCATCAATGCTACAGTGTCCTGGGAGTTGTAGTTTACTAAGGGGCACATCTACACTATAGAATGAGTGCATTTGGGTGTCACATAAATTGCCATGGCTCAATGCTATGGCATCCTGCAAGTTGTAGTTTTACTAAGGGGTTGTAGTTTTACTAAGGGCATCACTTGAATTGCCATGGCTCAACGCTATTGCATCCTAGGAGTTGTAGTTTTACTAAGGGGCACATCGACAGTTTATAATACATGCATTTTGCCATGGATAGAATGAATGTGTTTTGGCATCACACAAATTGCCTTGGCTCAATGCTGTGGCATTCTGGGAATTGTAGTTTTACTAAGGGGCACATCTACATTATAGAATACATACATTTTGATGCCACATAAATTGCCATGGCTCAATGCTATGGCATCTTGCAAGTTGTAGTTTTACTAAGGGGTTGTAGTTTTACTAAGGGCATCATGTGAATTGCCATGGCTCCTAGGAGTTGTAATTTTACTAAGGGGCACATCGACACTATAGAATACATGCATTTTGCCATGGATAGAATGATTTTTGGCATCACACAAATTGTCGTGGTTCAGTGCTATGACATCCTGGGAGTTGTAGTTTTACTAAGGGGCACATCGACACTATAGAGTAAATGCATTTTGCCATGTATAGAATGAATGAATTTTGACATCATACGTAGCTCAATGCTGTGGCATTCTGGGATGTATAGTTTTACTAAGGGGCACATCTGCACTGTAGAATACATGCATTTTGCTCTGGATAGTTTTGGCATCACACAAATTGCCATGGCTCAACGCTATGGCATCCTGGGAGTTATAGTTTCACTAAGTGGTACAACAACACTATAGTATACATGCATTTTGCCATGGATAGAATGAATGTGGTTTGGCATCACACAAATTGCCATGGCTTGGTGCTATGGCGTGCTGGGATTTGTAGTTTTACCAAGGGGCACATTGACACTGTAGAACAATGTGATGGATTTCTGGTATTTGTAGGTTGGTGATGCAACAGCGCTCTTGGGCAGGAAAGGCTAAACTACAACTCCCGGGATCCCATCGCAGTGAGCCAGGGCAGTCCAAGCTGCATTCCTTCGACAGTGTGTAGACACAGCCCTGGAATTCCCTTTGGGAAGCTCTGTGCAAAAGAAGAGAAACGGTGGCACAAAGGGAACCTGTTGGTATTTAGTGTCGTTCGGCTGCAGGATGGGTTTGGGCTCAGCAAGGAAACGGGAGATGACTGAAGTCCGGTCAGCGGCCAGGAGGTCGACTTCGATTTTGTGGATGCGCCCATAGTTGTCCAGGGCACGCCACCTGCAGAGGACAGAGAGCATGATGCTGTACGGATTAGAGACATCAGTTGTTGATGAAAGTTAAAATTATCACCATCATCATCAACTTTGGGGTGTTTTGTGGCTTCCGTGCTGTATGTCTAATGTGTTCTAGCAGCAGTTTCCAAAAAAAGTTCTAATACATAAATTAGTCCATAAGCTTCTAGGGAAAACAAGATCCATAGGTACATAAAATCCATGAAACTAGGCACATGAAAACATGAAAAAAGGCAGCAGGAAAAAATCCCATACACAAATCTGGAGCTTGGCAAAAACTTGGTACATGAAACTAAGAGCACTTGAAAGCATGACCGTCATGAAATCCCAGCGTTGACCCAACTGAGGCAACTCTTTCCCCTGAATCAATATAAGGCTTTTCCAGATCCCAAAACTGAAAGGAAAGCATTTCTTTTGACCTTACCACCAAATAAAGGTTTGTTATCTCTCGGTCGAACGAGGTATAGGGTGGCAACCTGTGTTTGATGGGGTTACACTCCCCCTGAAGATACAGATCCGCAGTCTGGGGGTCCTCCTGGATTCAGCACTGACGCTTGATGCTCAGGTGTCAGCGGCGGCCGGGAGGGCCTTTGCACAGGTAAGACTTGTGTGCCAGCTGTGACCGTACCTTGAGAAGTCTGATTTGACCATGGTGGTCCATGCCTTAGTTACCTCAAGATTAGACTACTGTAATGCACTCTACATAGGGCTGCCCTTGAAGATGGTTCAGAAACTACAGCTGATGCAAAGATCGGCAGCCAGATTGTTAACTAGAGCAAGTTATAGAGAGCGGTCCACCCTCCTGTTTAAACAACTCCACTGGCTGCCGATAAGTTTCCGGTCCCAATTCAAGGTGCAGGTCATCACCTATAAAGCTCTAAATCAGTGCTTCTCAACCTTCCTAATGCCGCGACCCCTTAATACAGTTCCTCCTGTTGTGGTGACCCACAACCATAACGTTATTTTCGTTGCTACTTCATAACTGTAATTTTGCTACTGTTACGAATTGTAATGTAAATATCTGATATGCAGGATGTATTTTGAGTCCCTGGACCAAATTTGGCACAAATACCCGATACGCCCAAAATCTGAATACTGGTGGCGTTGGGGGTGATTGATTTTGTCATTTGGCAATACTGGAGTTGCTGGGATTTATAGTTCATCTTAAATCAAAGAGTCTTCTGAACTCCATCATTGATGGAATTGAATCAAACATGGCACACAGAACTCCCATGACCAACAGAAAACATTGGAAGGGTTTTGTGAGCATTGACCTTGAGTTTGGGAGTTGTAGTTCACCTATATCCGGAGGAGTGCTGTGGATTCATGCAATGATGGATCTGGACCAAACTTGGCTCAAATACTCAATTGCCCAAAAATGTGGAGTCTGGGGAAAATAGACCTTGACATTTGGGAGTTGTAGTTGTTGGGATTTATAGTTCACCTACAATCAAAGAGCATTCTGAAGTCCACCAACAATAGAATTGGGTCAAACTTCCCACACAGAATCCCAAAGATGACTCAGGGCAGCTTTCTCTCTGCTTACAAAAGCTTTGCTTTCTATCTATGCTCTCATTATCTTGACTCTCATTAACTTCTGCACCTGACCAATAATCTTCAGACAGTTGTTCTGAGAAAAGCAGTGAAGAGCCTCTCTCAAGAATGTGGCCTTGGGAATGTTCCAGAGACAGCTCGGTCTCTCGTCTGAGCTTATCTCAAACCCTCATCTCCATTGCCAACAGACACAGGCTCACCATCAGGAACTTCATCTTCATGCCCATCATGAACATCAGCCACAATCACAGTCTGAACAGGTTGACATACAACAATAATAGGTGTTGTTGTTATTGTTGTTGTTGTAGAAGTAGCCTGACTTTTATTCCCTTTGAATTGTTTGCTACCTGGAGACTTCCTTTGCCTGGGTGGTGTTCACTGCAGACTCAAAGCCAAAACCAAGGTCACAATGACATCTGTTATACAACTCCAATATGCCGATGATAACGTAGTCTGTGCGCATTCAGAAGAAGACCTACAAGCCACATTAAACACCTTCGCAGAAGCATACAAGAAGTTTGGACTCTCATTGAACATACAACAATAATAGTTGTTGGCAAACTATTTAACCACTGCAGACTCAAAGCCAAAACCAAGGTCACAATGACATCTGTTATACAACTCCAATATGCCGATGATAACGTAGTCTATGTGCATTCAGAAGAAGATCTACAAGCTGCTCTAAACACCTTTGCAGAAGCATACAAGAAGCTTGGGCTCTCCCTGAACATACAACAATAATAGGCGTTGTTGTTGTTGTAGAAGTAGCCTGGCTTTTATTCCCTTTGAATTGTTTGCTACCTGGAGACCTCCTTTGCCTGGGTGGTGTTCACTAGCACTTGATTGCTTGCTGCCTGGAGACATTATTATTGTTGTTGTTGTTTTAGAAGTAGCCTGGCCTTTGTTCCCTTTGAATTGTTTGCTGTCTTGGAGACAGCCTTAGCCTGGGTGGCGTTCAGTAACCCTTGATTGCTTGCTGCCTGGAGACCTCCTGTGCCCAGGTGGTGTTCTATGCAGATGCCCTACTCACATGCTTGGAACAAGATACTTTCATCTTGTTGATGGGAAGCTTCCCACCAGAGTGGAACTCATCTCTCGGACTGATGGCAAGCTATTTAACCACTGCAGACTCAAAGCCAAAACCAAGGTCACAACGACATCTGTTATAGAACTCCAATATGCCGATGATAACGTAGTCTGTGCACATTCAGAAGAAGATCTACAAGCTGCTCTAAACACCTTTGCAGAAGCATACAAGAAGCTCAGGCTCTCATTGAACATACAACAATAATAGGTGTTGTTGTTATTGTTGTTGTAGAAGTAGCCTGGCTTTTATTCCCTTTGAATTTTTTGCTACCTGGAGACCTCCTTTGCCTGGGTGATGCTCAGTAGCCCTTGACTGCTTGCTGCCTGGAGACATTATTATTGTTGTTGTTTTAGAAGTAGCCTGGACTTTGTTCCCTTTGAATTGCTTGCTGCCTTGGAGACAGCCTTGGTCTGGGTGGCTTTCAGTAACTCTTGATTGCTTGCTGCCTGGAGACCTCCTGTGCCCAGGTGGTGTTCTATGCAGATGCCCTACTCACATGCTTGGAACAAGATACTTCATCTTGTTGATGGGAAGCTTTCCACCGGTGTGAAAATAATCTATCGGACTGATGGCAAACTATTTACCAACTGCAGACTCAAAACCAAAACCAAAACCAAGGTTACAACGACATCTGTTATAGAACTCCAATATGCTGATGATAACGTAGTCTGTGCACATTCAGAAGAAGATCTACAAGCTGCTCTAAACACCTTTGCAGAAGCATACAAGAAGCTCGGGCTCTCATTGAACATCGAGTGTAGATGCACCCATTCTTTTAACTTTTCACTTACACGGCATGGAATTAAAGTGTTGCAGAACTCACCAGTCAGCAATAAAAATGTCAGGTTGGAAGGTGTCCATGAGTTCTTCTCCTAAGCCTTCTTCCAGCAAATCAACCACCTGAGACTTTGCAAACCTTTGGGCACTAAAAAGCAAAAATGGTAAAAGGTTTGCAAACTTTGCAAGCCTGTCCGTACCTCTTCCTTGTTCCAGTGTATCTGTACTATGGAATTAATGTAGTTTGACTCCACTCGGACTGCGATGGCTCAATGCTGTGGAATCCTTGGAGCTACACTCTGGTGAGGTGCCATCCCTCTTTGGCAGAGAAGGCTGAAGTCCTTGTAAATCTACAACTCCCAGGATTCCGCAGCATTCAGCTATGGCAGTTCAAGTAGGGTTCTTTCGATAGTGTCGATGCGCCCAGTGGCGTTAAGGTGTCAAGACCCGATTTGGGGCAACCTTGCACAACTCACGCAAGTGAAAAGCAGCGATAGACCGTCACTCGTCCCATGCTGTCCTTCTCGTTCATGTCTATCCAGCTATATTCGATCTTCCAGTGTTGAAACTGGTCTGGGAACACAAGAGAGAAGCATGACCCAAAGTGTCAATGGTCAGGGAACAACAACAACAACACTTTATTTATATATCTGTCAGGATGGCTTGGATTGTGTCTTCCTGCATGACAGAAAGGGGTTGGGCTGGATGACCTTTGGGGTCCCTTCTAACTCTAGGATCATATGATTCAACAGAAGCTGATTGGCCATCTGTCAGGAGGACTTGCATTGGGTCTTGCATGGCAGAAAGGGGTTGGACTGGATGACCTTTGTGGTCCCTTCCAACTCTACGATTCTATGATTCAAGAGATGCTGACTGGCTATCTGTCAGAATGGTTTGGATTGTGTCTTCTTGCATGACAGAAAGGGGTTGGACTGGATGACCTTTGGAGTCCCTTTGAACTCTAGGTTCTTATGATTCAATAGAGGCTGACTGGCCATCTGTCAGGATGGTTTGGATTGTGTCTTCTCGCATGAAAAAGGGGTTGGACTGGATGACCTTTGAGGTCCCTTTCATCTCTAGGATCCTATGATTCAATAAATGCTGACTGGCCACCTGTCAGGAAGGCTTGGATTGTGTCTTCCTGCATGGCAGAAAGAGGTTGGACTGGATGATCTTTGGGGTCCTTTCCAGAGGCTGACTGGCTATCTGTCAGGAGGGCTTGGATTGTGTCTTCTTGCATGAGAAATGGGTTGGACTGGATGACCTTTGAGGTCCCTTTCAACTTTAGGATCCTATGATTCAACAGAGGCTGACTGGCCATCTGCTGGGAGAGCTTGGATTGTATCTTCCTGCCTGGCAGAATGGGACTTGATTGGATGCACTTTGGGGTCCTTTCCACCTCTAGGATCCTTTGACTCAACAAAAGATGACTGGCCATCTTTTGGGAGGGCTTGGATTGTGTCTTCTTGCATGCAGAAAGGGGTTGGACTCGATGACCTTTGGGGTCCCTTCCAAATACAGGATCTTATGATTCAATAGAGGCTGACTGGCCATCTTTTGGGAGGGCTTGGGTTGTGTCTTCTTGCATGGCAGAAGGGTTGGACTGGATGACCTTTGGGGTCCCTTTCAAATATAGGATCTTATGATTCAATAGAGGCTGACTGGCTATCTGTCAGGATGGTTTGGATTGTGCTTTCTTGTATGGCAGAAAGGGGTTGGACTGGATGACCTTTGGGGTCCCTTCCACCTCTCGGATTCTGTAATACACTCCCCGCACCTTGATATGTATTGACTCACTCTTTCCGCGGGGATTCTTGATCAGATTCCTCCCAAAAGGCCGCAGGCGATAGATTCGGCGCCAGTCTATTTGGGACGCGCCCTGGACGGCTTCCACGGCCGCCTTGCTCAGAGGGTCCCGTTGGCACTTGAGCCTCCAAAGGGTGGGCTTGTCAATGAGGTCCCTCCACTTGCGGCACACCAAGCGGCACTCCCTCACCAGGCTCCGGCCGGGCACCCAGCTCAGGATCAGCAGCAGCAGCTCATCCGGAAGGTATTTCAGGTCCTCCATTATTTGGACGTCCTCTGTGGCTTCCAGTTCCGGCAATCTTCTCTTGCTTTTGACCGTCCCCATCTTTCTCTTTCTTCTTCTTCAGTCTATTTGTCTGGAACAGAAACATTGCACAATACGTCATTTGCATATCCAAACCTATCATGGTTGCCTTGGTGGATGACCTCCGCAGGGAACTGGACAGGGGGAGTGGGACCCTGCTAGTTCTTCTGGACATCTCAGCGGCTTTCGATACCATCAACCATGGTATCCTTCTGGGAAGACTCTCTAGGATGGGATTTGGGGGCACGGTTTTATTGTGGCTCCAGTCCTTCCTGGAGGGTCACTCCCCGTCGGTGAAGCTGGGGGACACCTGCTCGGACCCCTGGCTGTTGATCTGTGGGGTCCCGCAAGGGTCTATTGTTGGGGTTCAGCCTGGGTGTGAACCTGAACCTGAACCTGATTCTCTGATTGTATTTCCTGATGCTACTGAAAATGTATTTCCTGATGCTATCCCTCCCAATTTGGTGTTGTCTGCAAACTTGATGATCCTGCCTTCTAACCCTTCATCTTTATTAACGACTTAGATGAAGGTTTAGAAGGCATGATCATCAAGTTTGCAGACGACACCAAATTGGGAGGGAGAGCCAATACTCCAGAGGACAGGAGCAGGATTCAAAACGATCTTGACAGATTAGAGATGGCCAAAACTAACAAAATGAAGTTCAACTGTGACAAATGCAAGATACTCCACTTTGGCAGGAAAAACGAAATGCAAAGATACAGAATGGGGGACGATGAGGCCTGGCTCGAGAGCAGTACGTGTGAAAAAGATCTTGGAGTCCTCATGGACAACAAGTTAAACATGAGCCAACAATGTGATGTGGCGGCAAAAAAAGCCAATGGGATTTTGGCCTTCATCAATAGGAGCAAAGTGTCGAGATATAGGGAAGTAATGCTACCCATACTCTATTCTGCTTTGGTTAGACCACACCTGGAATATTGTGTCCAATTCTGGGCACCACAATTCAAGAGAGATATTGACAAGCTGGAATGTGTCCAGAGGAGAGTGACAAAAATGATAAAAGGTCTGGAGAACAAGCCCTATGAGGAGCGGCTTAAGGAGCTGGGCATGTTTAGCCTAAGAGAAGGCTGAGAGGGGATATGATAGCCATGTATAAATATGTGAGAGGAAGCCACAGGGAGGAGGGAGCAAGCTTGTTTTCTGCTTCCTTGGAGACTAGGACGCGGAACAATGGCTTCAAACTACAAGAGAGGAGATTCCATCTGAACATGAGGAAGAACTTCCTGACTGTGAGAGCCGTTCAGCAGTGGAACTCTCTGCCCCGGAGTGTGGTGGAGGCTCCTTCTTTGGAAGCTTTTAAACAGAGGCTGGATGGCCATCTATCAGGGGTGATTTGAATGCAATATTCCTGCTTCTTGGCAGAATGGGGTTGGACTGGATGGCCCATGAGGTCTCTTCCAACTCTTTGATTCTATGATTCTATGATTCTATGCTAATGAAAATGTATTTCCTGATTCTAATGAAAATGTTGATTCTGAGGTCAGTGTAGGAGATACTCCTGCACGCTTGGAAAGTGAAAGTACACTTTCTCATGAGAATGTTTCAGAGCCAAGCAGTAACCTTTCACTCCATTCTAGCTCTCCAGAGAAGCTAACACCTGGGATCCTTAATGAGGATAGGACAGATTTGGCAAAACAGGGGTGAATCACAGAGTTTGCGAAGGTCAGCCAGATTGAAAGAAAAAGAAACAAGGGCTTCAAAGCCTGGAGGCGTGTCACGAAACAGATTCCTCGGCTTTAAGTGCCTCTCGCCGGGTTGACTCTTTAGATCAGGCATCGTTTTAGACTGCGGTATTACTTTGGCAGATCTTCCGTTTCCCGTGGACTTCATCCCAAGAGGCTTCTAGTGCTCCAAGTACGGTTAGTGGATTGCTAACAGGTTACAGGATTTTACAGTGTTGCTTTGGGTTTTTGATCTAGTTCATGGACATTTCTGATCTCTGATTTTTACTGTGGCTTTTTGACTTTGCATTTTCCTCTATTTTGTAACCATTTTTCACCAATAAAAAAGGATTGTTTTTTCCCCACAGTCAAGTGTGGTGGATTGTTGTCTTAGGGTCTTGTTTCCTGCTCTGGGTTGCAACATCTGTTTTGTCCCCCATGCTATTCAACAATTACATGAAACTGCTGGGAGAGGTCATCCGGAGTTCTGGAGTGCGATGGGACTTATAGTACCTTCACTCACTTCCAGAGACCACTGTGACCCACACCAGTGACAGATCAAGACCAAACATGGCACACAGAGTCCCCATGACCTACTCTATGTCCTCGTACGGTCTGTGGGATGACAGTCCGTGGACAATGGGACTTGCAGTACCTCCACTCACTTCCTGAGACCACTGCGACCCACGCTAATGACTGATCAAAACCAAACTTGATACACAGAGCCCCCATGACCCACTCTACATCCTGGTGCAGTTTGGAAGAGGGTGGACCATGGACATTGGGACTTACATATGGGAGTTGTAGTTAACCCGCACCCATGACCTACTCTATGTCCTAGTACGGTCTGTGGGATGATAGACCATGGACAATGGGGCTTGCAGTACCTCCACTCACTTCCTGAGACCACTGCAACCCACGCTAATGACTGATCAAGACCAAACTTGATACACAGAGCCCCCATGACCCACTCTACATCCTGATGCAGTTTGGAAGAGGGTGGACCATGGACATTGGGGCTTACATATGGGATTTGTAGTTCACCCACACCCATGACCTACTCTATGTCCTGGTACGGTCTGTGGGATGATAGACCATGGACAATGGGGCTTGCAGTACCTCCACTCACTTCCTGAGACCACTGCAACCCACACCAATGACTGATGAAGACCAAACTTGATACACGGAGCCCCCATGACCCACTCTACATCCTGGTGCAGTTTGGAAGAGGGTGGACCATGGACATTGGGACTTACATGTGGGAGTTGTAGTTAACCCGCACCCACTGAACCCAGTTGACATTGGATCTAGACTAAGCCTTTCTCAAATAGCCCAGGCACCACTGGGTCCCCAAGCTAGAAGTAAATAAATAAAAGTGCTCTTCCAGCAGTCACCAGCCAATCCCCCTGCAATGCCAGAAACACAGCTTAATAGTGTAACATTAGAAAATGTGGACCATTTCCGCTCCCTTGGCAGCCACCTCTCCACAAAAGTCAACATTGACACCAAAATACAGCACCGCCTGAGCTCTGCGAGTGCAGCATTCTTCTGAATGAAGTAGAGAGTGTTTGAGGACTGGGACATCCGTAGGGAGACCAAAGGGCTTGTTGTCCTTCCAACCCTGCTCTATGTCTGCGAAACGTGGACTGTCTACAGATGTCACATTCAACTCCTGGAACGTTTCCATCAGCATTGCCTCCAAAAAATTCTGCAAATCTCTTGGGAAGACAGGAGGACAAATGCCAGTGTGCTGGAAGAAGCAAAGGCCACCACAATTGAAGCGATGCTCCTACACCATCAACTCCACTGGAGTGAAGGCCACATTGTCCGAATGTCACCATCTCCCAAAATAGTTACTCTACTCCCAACTCAAGAACAGGAAACATAATGTTGGTGGACAGGAAAAGAGATAATAGAATCATAGAATCAAAGAGTTGGAAGAGACCTCCTGGGCCATCATCCAGTCCAACCCCATTCTGCCAAGAAGCAGGAATATTGCATTCAAATCACCCCTGACAGATGGCCATCCAGCCTCTGTTTAAAAGCTTCCAAAGAAGGAGCCTCCACCACACTCCGGGGCAGAGAGTTCCACTGCTGAACGGCTCTCACAGTCAGGAAGTTCTTCCTCGTGTTCAGATGGAATCTCCTCTCTTGTAGTTTGAAGCCATTGTTCCATTGTGTCCTAGTCTCCAAGGAAGCAGAAAACAAGCTTGCTCCCTCCTCCCTATGACTTCCCTCACATATTTATACATGATCATATCTCCTCTCAGCCTTCTCTTCTTCAGGCTAAACATGCCCAGCTCTTTAAGCTGCTCCTCATAGGGCTTGTTCTCCAGACCCTTGATCATTTTAGTCGCCCTCCTCTGGACACATTCCAGCTTGTCAATATCTCTCTTGAATTGGTGCCCTGAATTGGACACAATATTCCAGGTGTGGTCTAACCAAAGCAGAATAGAGGGGGAGCATGACTTCCCTGGACCTAGACACTATGCTCCTATTGATGCAGGCCAAAATCCCATTGGCTTTTTTTGCTGCCACATCACATGTTGGCTCATGTTGTCCATGAGGACTCCAAGATGTAAAGGTGGGCTTAAAAACTGTGGCATAGACACCAAGAACTGCGAAGCCCTGGCCCTTCAGCGCTCTAACTGGAGGTCAGCTGTGACCAGCAGTGCTGCAGAATTTGAAGATACATGAATGGAGGGCAAAAGGGAGAAATGTGCCAAGATGCAGAAAGCCAACCCTGACCGAGACTGACTTCCACTTGGAAACGGATGTCTTCACTGCGGGAAAACTGCAAATCACAGGCAGAGCATTAGAAGGATCCGAAACAAATACATCCAAGTGTACATTTGAGCATTTCTTACCATGTATTTCTGCTCCGTCACAAGTTACGTAAAGGAAAACGAAGCAGGAAGTGAGCTCAGATAAATGTAATTTATGGTGTATATGTAGGGAGAGTTTATGTCCCCACTGCTCAAAGTCTAAACTAAATGTAAACAATACAATCTGCTGTTTTCCATCCTTCAAAGTGAAACTGCAGCCAAAGACTTCCCTTCCCTTCCGAGTGAATGCATGCAAAAGTGTCTCTCTATTGATGCCATTGTGCCTTCATTTTAAACCAAGTTGCTTTGAGTTCAACCCTTGTGCCGGCAGTACTGAAAACCGACAGGTCAGAGGTTCAAATCCGGAAAGAGCGTGGATGAGCTCCCTCTGTCAGCTCCAGCTTTGAAACAGAGGCTGGATGGCCATCTGTCAGGGGCGATTTGAATGCAATATTCCTGCTTCTTGGCAGAATGGGGTTGGACTGGATGGCCCAGGAGGTCTCTTCCAACTCTATTCTTGATTCTATGATTCTATGATTCTATGAATTACCGTAGTATTTCTCACCAATATGAGCCATGGCACAATGCTATAAAATCCTGGGAGTTGCAGTTTTCCAAAGACTGGATAACGGGAGTTGTAGTTTGACAAGGGTCTTAAGCTTTCTCTGCCAGAGAGTGCAAAGTATAAACTCCAAACATACCATAACTTTGAGCCATGGCACTTCTGAATGGTGCCAAACTGCCTTCATTCTACAACAGAGATGTACCTAAGAGGATTTGGAAGAAAGCTACAGCCTTGGTGAAACTACAAGTCCCAGGGCTCTATAGCAGAGAGCCATGGCAGTTCAAGTGAGGTTAAACTACATCAAAACTGCATTGGCAGTCTTCAGAAAGAACTTGAAGACCTGGCTGTTCCGATGTGCCTTCCCAGAATAGGAAATCTCCAATACCAAGTCCCAGAAGCACTTTACTAGAACTAATTATTGCCGCACATTGCACACTGCATTTTCCCTATAATCCTTACATATCACCTGTCACATCAGCACTTTTAACCCTGTACCCATTACTCTGGCCCGGCCCAGTTTTATAGTGTCTTGGTGTATTGTTTATTGCTTGTTGTTTAATATTGCTTTAACTGTTTTTAATTTGCTTTAGGTTTGTATTGTTATGTTGTGTTTTGAGGCCTTGGCCTTTGTAAGCTGCATCGAGTCCTTCGGGAGATGCTAGCGGGGTACAAATAAAGATAATAATAATAATAATAATAATAATAATAATAATAATAATAATGCCTTCTCTGCCAGAGAGCGCAAAGTATAAACTCCAAACATACCATAACTTTGTGGTGGAGGCTCCTTCTTTGGAAGCTTTGAAACAGAGGCTGAAACAGAGTGGTGCCGAACTGCCTTCATCCTACAACAGAGATGCACCTAAGAGAATTTGGAAGAAAGCTACAGCCTTGGTGAAACTACAGCTCCCAGGACCCCATAGCAGGGAGCCATGGCAGTTTAAGTGAGGGTAAACTGCATCAAAACTACAATATAGATGCACTCACCCTCAAAGCAGAGATGGAAAGGCACAGCTTCTGCCCGCCGCCTTTTTGCGCATGACTTGACTTGAAAGCCACCCAGGGATGCCAGCTTGCCAAACAAGGCAACCAGCTGGTTTGGGGCTTCCCAAAGAGCCAAGAAATCCACCTTGAGAGCCCAGCAGGAGGCGTGTGGCTTCCAGGGTTGCTTCTGAGGCCAAAGGGAGGAGACAGAGAAAGAGGAGGAGGGAAAGCGGCTGGCTTCCTTTCTCTTGTTTGCGCCTTTTACGCACAAGGACCTGGAACAGCCCAGAGCTTCCGATTCGCTTCGCTTCTCCTTGTGAGGCCTCCCTGGCTTCCCCTTCTTGGATCCGGCTTCAATTCGGAGCCTTTCCCTGGTTGGTAGGGTCGAAGAGAAGGCACAGATCCAAGGCAGACCAGCGTTGCATCCATCCAAGGCCAGGGCGCACGGAGGGACCCTGGACAGCGGTGCGTTTCCATTGTTATGACCTCTGTTGTTCCTGTTGTTATTGTTTACTAGCCGTCTCCTGCCAGGCGTTGCTGTGGCCTAATCTAGTGTTCTGGAAAATAAAGTAATGCGAAAGTATTGTCGAAGGCTTTCATGGCCGGAATCACTGGGTTGTTGTAGGTTTTTTCGGGCTATATAGCCATGTTCTAGAGGCATTTCTCCTGACGTTTCGCCTGCATCTATGGCAAGCATCCTCAGAGGTAGTGAGGTCTGTTGGAAATAGGAAAAATGGTCATTCCATACCCTGGTCATGACCATGGGTTGTTGTAGGTTCGGGCTATATGGCCATGTTCTAGAGGCATTCTCTCCTGACATTTCGCCTGCATCTATGGCACACATCCTCAGAGGTAGTGAGGTCTGTTGGGACTCGGTCAAAGGCTTTCATGGCCGGAAGCACTGGGTTGTTGTAGGTTTTTCCGGGCTATATGGCCATGGTCTAGAGGCATTCTCTCCTGACGTTTCGCCTGCATCTATGGCAAGCATCCTCAGAGGTTGTGAGGTCTGTTGGAACTAGGAAAATTGGGTTTATATATCTGGAATGATTGTGTAGGTTTTTTCGGGCTATATGGCCATGGTCTAGAGGCATTCTCTCCTGACGTTTCGCCTGCATCTATGGCAAGCATCCTCAGAGGTAGTGAGGTCTGTTGGACTAGGAAAAAGGGTTTATATATCTATGGAATTTCCTGTGAGTTTTCTGAGCTGTATGGTGATGTTCCAGAAGCATTCTCTCCTGATATTTCACCCACATCTATGGCAGGTATCTGGAGAGGTTGTGAGGTCTGTTGAATTAGGACAATGGGTTTATATATCTGTGGAATGACCAGGGTGGGACAAAGGACTCTTGCCTGCTGGAGCTAGGTGGGAATGTTTCAACTGATCACCTTGATTAGCATTTGATGGCCTGACAGTGCCTGGGACAATCTTTTGTTGAGAAGTGATTAGATGTCCTTGTTTGTTTCCTCTCTGCTGTTTTGCTGTTGTAATTTTAGAGGTTTTTTTAATACTGGTAGCCAGATTTTGTTCATTTTCATGGTTTCCTCCTTTCTGTTGAAATTGTCCACCTGCTTCTTGTGGATTTCAGTGGCTTCTCTGTGTAGTCTGACATGGTGGTTGTTGGAGTGGTCCAGCATTTCTGTGTTCTCAAATAATATGCTGTGTCCAGGCTGGTTCATCAGGTGCTCTGCTATGGCTGACTTCTCTGGTTGAAGGAGTCTGCAGTGCCTTTCATGTTCCTTGATTCGTGTTTGGGCAATTCTGCGTTTGGTGGTTCCTATGTATGTAGACTTGTCCACAGCTGCATGGTATATGGTAGACTCCTGCAGAGGTGAGAGGATCCCTCTTGTCCTTTGCTGAATGTAGCATTTGTTGGATTTTCTTGGTGGGTCTGTAGATAGTTTGTATATTGTGTTTCCTCATCAGCTTCCCTCTGCGGTCAGTGGTTCCCTTGATGTATGGCAGGAACACTTTTCCTCTGGGTGGATCTTCATCTTGACTCTCGTGGCTTGTTCTTGGTCTTGCAGCTCTTCTGATGTCTGAGGTGGAGTCTCCCTTGGCCTGGAGAGCCCAGTTGAGGTGGTTCAGTTCATCTTGGAGGAGGTGGGCTTCGCAGATTCTTTTTGCACGGTCTGCCAAGGCTTTAATGGTGCTTCTTTTTTGACTTGGGTGATGGTTGGAGTTTTTATGTAGATATCTATCTGTGTGTGTGGGTTTTCTGTAGACGGTGTGACCCAATTGTTGATCTGGTTTGCGGATGACTAGGACATCTAGAAAAGGCAGTCTTCCTTCATTTTCTTTTTCCATGGTGAACTGGATGTTTGGTTGGATGCTGTTAAGATGGTCCAGGAACCTGTTGAGTTCTTCTTCTCCATGGCTCCAAATGGTGAAGGTGTCATCCACATATCTGAACCATATGGTGGGCTTTTTGGTTGCTGTTTCAAGGGTTTGTTTTTCAAAGTTTTCCATGTAAAAACCTACAACGGAAAAACCTACAACAACCCAGTGATTCCTGCCATGAAAGCCTTCAACAATGAAACATATTGTTGCCTGGAAGTCCAGGGGAGTTTCTTTCTCTGGGTTTTGTTTTGGTTTTTTGAGCAGAGGCTAAATTGCCATCTGTCAGGAGGGTTTGGCTTGTGCTCTGTGATTCTGTGTTTTAATCCTCTGTTTTAGGTTGCTGTCCTTTTTTTGTTTAGCCTATCTATCTTACTAGCTAAACCTGACCGTGCTTTGCTGTGGCTCAGTCTGATATGAAATAAATAAGATAGTAAATAAAGTATTGTTGCGAACATAGATTCACTGAGGAAACACATCACTCAATTCAATACTCTGTCTTGTGTTGCTGTGTCTATCTGGGATGAAAGGAGAGGAAAGGAAAAGATATTTTTAACAGAAATCATTTTTGGTTTGTCCATTTCCAGCATAAGTATAAATGTGCTGGTACGGCTGTACCAGGAGTCCAACTTTATTTTCTTTCTGTTATCTGTTTGCAGTCATAGGGCAGGCCTCCTGTCCATCATAATTAAGCTTTGGTTCCGCCCCTTGTTCAGGGCTCTGGGAGGGAAAGGAGCCATTTTTTGGGCAGTCTCACATAAGGAAGCTAAACTATAGGACGTAGACCAGCTCGTCCCGTAGAAAAGCTTCTTTTCTCAAGAACATCCGGGGAAACAGAAACAGAAATTCCAGAGAAAAGGTCCCAAGGCTCTGGCTGAGAGCTCACAGCCTCACTGCAATCAGAGGGAAAACAGCCCTGAAGTTTTCAAAGAATTCTCTGAGGGAGGACAGCACTACAGATCCACGGAACTCCATCTGAAATATCTACAAGCCTCGGCTGGTAGGTCTACTCGATACCCAGACGCATTTGGAATCGGTAGTAGGACCCACACCGATGAGGCATAGATAGTAAACAGCCTGGGAGAGGTTAAAAAGGGTTTTTTTCCTACAGTTAATCAAAGACAGGTACCAGTCCATTGAGGACTAGACTAAGAAAGCCTTGAAGTGTTGTTTGAACCATTGAAGATTTGTTGTTTGTTCCATAATAAAGACTTTGTTGTATCATTAAAGACTCTAAAGACCATCACTTCAGAAAAATCCCTGAGAACCTCTCTTTGAGGCACCCTGGCTTCCCGCTAGGCTTAAAGTATACGTCCTATAGAAAAGACAGCTGTTACAGGCCCAGCGCGCGACAGAACAATAAAGATCTGAGGTTTTACCAACTTTGGAGCATGTGACGTATAATTGCCCCTGAGAGAAGCAATTGTTTTCTAAATTCAAACCACACACTTGCTAAGATTTCCCTTGCGCTTTATTGATTGTCATAGCGAATGCAAGATGTACTGGAAATTGAACGCTATGTCAGTCAGTATGTGTAGTATGCCAAGAACAACCAGTCACAGCTCAGCTTTAATTACTTTACTGCTGAGGTAAAAGGAAAGCTGTGCAGCGATTGGTTGCTAGAGCTCAGTTTTCATTTCTTATACTGCTGAGGTAAAAGGAAAGCTAGGCTGTGAGTGGTTGCTTTGGGAAACACAGATTCCACTTTCTCTATTCCCGGACTGTTTGTTTTACTCTAAATACATGCGTGTATTCAAATGCAATGTTGTGTCAGAATTTCATTTTACTATAAAAACACACGCGTATTGCAATGCAACGTTGTGTCAAAATGTCAAGTCAATGGACTGACTACTTTTTGAGTTTTACGAGCACATACATATGCAGGCTGAGATTTTATATATAACTAGCTGTACCCGCCACGTATTGCTGTGGCCAACCTTCCCTCCCTCTTTCCCTTCTTCCTTCCCTCTCTCTTTCCTTCCCTCTTTTTCTTTCCCTTCCTCTTTCCCTTCTTCTTTCTTCCTTCTCTACCTGTTTCTTTCCTCCCTTCTTTTGCTCTTTGGTTCTATCCTTCCTTGTCTCTTTCCTTCCTTCCCTCCCTCTTTCTCTCTTTCATTCCTTCTCTCCTTCCTTCCCTCTCTCTTTCCCTCCTTTCATTTTTTATTTCTTTCTCTCCTTCCTTTTCTACCTTTCTTTGTTTTCTTCCTTCTCTCCTTCACTCCTTCTTTCCCTTTCTCTTCTTCCTTCCTTCCTTGCTTCTTTCCCCCTTTCTGTGTGTATGTGTTTTGTGTGTGTATATATGCATATATGTGTATAAATATTTGTATATATGTTATATGTATGTTTATAGAAGATTTGTGTATTTTAGCTGAGTCTTGAGGAGAGGCAGTAAATGATTGGGTTGCTGTGAGATTTCCGGGCTGCCTGGCCATGTTCCAGAAGCATAGTCTCCTGACTTTTCACCCATATCTATCGCAGACATCCTCAGAGGTTGTGAGATCTGTTGGAAACTAGGCAAGTGTGGTATGTATGTGTGTGTATGTGTGTCTGTCTGTCTATCTATCTATCTGTGGAATAATGTCCACGGTGGGAGAAAGAACTGTTGTCTGTTTGAGGCAAGTGTGAATGTTGCAACTGGCCAGCTTGATTAGCATTGAATGGCCTTGCAGCTTCAAAGCCTGACTGCTTCTTGCCTGGGGAGAATCCTTTGGTGGGAGGTGTTAGTTGACTCTGGTTGTTTCCTGTCTGGGATTCCCCTGTTTTCTGAGTGTTCCTCTTTATTTACTGTCCTGATTTTAGAGTTTTTAGGGCCAGCAATCAGGGCCTCCCAACAAAGGATTCCCCCAGACAGCAACCATCCAGGCTTTGAAGTTTCCAGAAGTGGTTTGCCTTTGCCTTCCTCTGAGGCTGAGAGAGTGTGACTCACTCATAGTCAGGTAGCGGATTCAAAGCTGGGACTTGGGAGTTGTAGTCAATTTGTGCTCATTCTGAACTCCTTGCAAGAACTAATTTGGACAAGAGATGAGTTCAAGTGAATGGGAACTAATCCATCCAGATGTCCCCTGGGCAACGTCCTTGCAAACGGCCAATTCTCTCACACCAAGAGTGACTTGCAGGTTCTCAGGTCGTTCCTGCTCACACATTTAACCCCAGTCTTGACCGAAACGGTGTCCTTGCTTTTCCTTTCGGGACAGATTGTTTTGTTGACTTTGTTGTCTTCTCTCTGTCGGCCACAGACTGAGAGAGAGGCCCAAGGGAATGTGCCTGCCGATTGCAACACCGCAACTCATGACTTGCTAAAGGAAACTGGAGTGACCCCGGCTCGGTGTTCGGTTCACCTTCCGCTTTGAGCCTGAGCATGCATCGGAAAGGTTACCAGAGAGGAGCAAAGGACTTCTCAGGAAGCATGGCGGGATCCTTGTGTTTCCTCCTTGTGTTGCTCTCCTTCCTAGGATGCAAAAACTTGCGCTCCACCCGACCTGAGCAGGTCCACCTTTCTTACCCAGGTAAGTTTCTCCCTCGGTGAGTCTTGGGGTCTTTCCAGACAGGCCCGATGTCCCAGGATCTGTTCCCAGGTTTTATGTTTGTCCCAGATTATCTGGCAGTGCAGACTCATATAATAAGGCAGGAAACCTGGGATTCGATCCTGGGATATCAGCCCATCTGGAAGGGCCCTTGGAGTGCATCTATATTATATACTAGCTGTACCCGTCACGTGTTGCTTGTGGCCAACCTTCCTCTTTCTCTCCTTTCTTTCTCTCCTTCCTTCCTTCCCTCTTTCCTTAATTCCCTCTTTTTCTTTCCCTTCTTTCTTCCTTCTCTACCTCTTTCTTTTTTCACTTCCTTTGCTCTTTGGTTCCATCCTTCCTTGTCTCTTTCCTTCCTTCCCACCCTCTCTCTCTCTTTCATTCCTTCTCCCCTTCCTTCCCTCTTTCCCTTTTTTAATTCTCTCCCTCCTTCTCTCCTTCCTTCCTTCTCTACCTTTCTTTCTTTCCTTCTTTCTCTCCTTCCCTCTTTCTCTCCTTGCATCTCTCCTTCCTTCTCTACCCTTCTTTCTTTCCTTCTCTCCTTCCCTCTTTCTCTCCTTGCTTCTCTCCTTCCTTTTCTACCCTTCTTTCTTTCCTTCTCTCCTTCCCTCTTTCTCTCCCTTCTTCTCTCCTTCCTTCTCTATCCTTCTTTATCCTTCCTTCTCTCCCTCTTTCTCTCCCTCCTTCCTTCTCTACCCTTCTTTCTTTCCTTCTTTCTCTCCTTCCCTCCTTCTTTCCCTCTTTCCCTCTCCCCTTCTCTCCTTCCTTCCTTCTCTCCTTCCCTCTTTCCTTGCTTCTCTCCTTCCTTCTCTACCCTTCTTTCTTTTCTTATCTCCTTCCCTCTTTCTCTCCCTCCTTCTTTCCTTCTCTCCCTCTTTCTCTCCCTCCTTCCTTCTCTACCTTTCTTTCTTTCTTTTCTTCTCTCTTTCCCTCTTTCTCTCCCTCCTTCTCTCCTTCCTTCTCTATCCTTCTTTTTTCCTTCCTTCTCTCCTTCTCTCCATCTTTCTCTCCTTCCTTCCTTCTCTACCTTTCTTTCTTTCCTTCTTTCTCTCCTTCCCCCCTTCTTTCCCTTCTTCTCTTCCTCCTTCCTTCTCTACTCATCTTTCCTTCCTTCCTTCTCTCCCTCCTTCTCTCCTTCCTTCCTCCTTTCTGTGTATGTGTTTTGTGTATATATATGTGTGGTTTTGCGCTTGTGTTGTAATGTATATTTTTGGATTTTTGGTTTTATGTCCCTTCTGCTTTGTTTTTCAGTGTTTTGATGAGTGATGGTCACTCGTTGGCCTGGTAGGTGTCTTGTGTCCAAATTTGGTGTCAATCCGCCCAGTGGTTTTTGAGTTCAGTTAATCCCACAAACGAACATTACATTTTTATTTATATAGATTTAACGCAGTTTGATACCACTTCAACTGCCATCCTATGGAAGCATGGAGATTATAGCTTAACCAGGTCTTTCGCCTTCTCCCCAAAAGTGCTGGTGCCTCCCCAAACTACAAATCCCAAGACTCCATAGCATTGAGTTGTGGCAATTAAAGTGGTGCCAAACTGTATTAAATGTACAATGCAGATGAATCCCTTTGTTGGAGTCCAAAGAGTTTTCCTTGATCTTCATCTCCAAATTCAGGAGTGTAGGTCCTGGGAGTTGTAGTTTAGTGAGGTAATGGTGCTTCTTGGCAGGGAAAGTTCAAGACCTTTTAACACTACAACTTCCATGATTTGATTCGGAGTAAACTCCCGACCATTTGTGTAGCTTGCTGTCGACCTTTGCAGCCCAAAAGACAGTTGCATCTGTCAAGAAGGAAATTTAGGTATTGCTTATGCGGGAAGGATAATCTAATTAGTTTATGATGCCATAAAACTCTCCAGCAACGTGCAAAAGAATGAGGAAGTACTCCATTGGTGTCACAAGTGGACGGTGAAGCAACAGCTCCCCCGGTGGTTGGAATCCAAAGCATACCCTCATGAAGCTGGAAAGTTAAATAGCCTCTGTGTCTCTGTCTATATATGTTGTATTGTCTATGGCATTGAATGTTTGCCATGTATATGCGCATTGTGATCCGCCCTGAGTCCCCTGCGGGGTGAGAAGGACGGAATATAAATACTGTAAAGAAATAAATAAAATAGCATTGAGCTATGGCAGTTCAATTGAGGTTAAACTGTATCAGATTTACAGTGTAGATGTACCTTTAGAAACGGGACCTTATTGGGGACTGCACCTGAGTTGTGGCATTATTTTATTTATTATTATTTTTAGTAGTACTCTTCCTACTTTAAATAAATTCATCCTGGAAGATGTTTCAGGGGTTTGCATTCCTGTAATCATGTCTAGTGGCTCTTACTTTCTGCAGGAGACCCAAACTCCATGACGGTCACCTGGACGACCTTTGATCCCGCGCCATCCATTGTCCTCTTTGGCCAGGACCCGGGAGAGGCCTTCAGTCATGTGGCCAAAGGAAACGCCACGCTCTTTGTGGACGGAGGGAAGTTAGGACGCACCATGTTCATCCACAGGGTCACCCTCCGCGACCTGGTGCCGGGACAACGCTATGGTAAGAGGCTGGAATTGGTTTGATTTGGGGACCAGAAGAAATGGGCTGCCAAAGGCAGGAACAGCTGAAGGCTCTCATCCCAGTATGGTGTGAAATCCATTCTAGGGGTCCCAGACTGGGAAAGAGTCCTTTCTATCTGTCTATCCCCGCTCAAGCAGGGAGCTTTGAGATGGTTGAACAGAAGCTCTCCGAAGCTCTAGGTGCCCTTACTGCCTATTACAAGGAAAACCAGCTGATCCCCAACCCATCTAAAACACAATGTGCCTTTCACCTTAAGAACAGAGAATCATCCCGAGCTCTGAGGATTATTACCTGGGAAGGAATCCCATTGGAGCATTGCAGCGCACCCAAATACCTGGGAGTCACTCTGGACCATGCTCTGACCTACAAGAACCACTGCCTGAACATCAAACAAAAAGTGGGTGCAAGAAACAATATCGTACGAAAGCTGACTGGCACAACCTGGGGATCACAACCAGACACAGTGAAGACATCTGCCCTTGCGCTGTGCTACTCTGCTGCTGAGTATGCATGCCCAGTGTGGAACACATCTCACCACACTAAAACAGTGGATGTGGCTCTTAATGAGACATGCCACATTATCACGGGGTGTCTGCGCCCTACACCACTGGAGAAATTACACTGTCTAGCCAGTATTGCACCACCTGACATCCGCCGGGAAGTAGCTGCCAATAGTAAAAGGACTAAGGCAGTGACATCTCCAGCTCATCCCCTGTTTGGGTATCAGCGAGCACGCCAACGACTTAAATCAAGAAATAGTTTTCTAAGATCTACAGAAATGCTTGCCAGAACACCTCAGCAAGCGAGAGTCCAAAAGTGGCAGGCTCAAACCCAGAACCTCAATCCATGGCTGATACCAAATGAGAGTCTCCCTCCTGGGCACACAGAAGGCGGGGCGACTTGGAAGGCGCTGAACGGACTGCGCTCTGGCACCACGAGATGCAGAGCCAACCTTCAGAAATGGGGCCATAAAGTGGAATCCACGACATGCGAGTGCGGAGAAGAGCAAACCACAGACCACCTGCTGCAATGCAACCTGAGCCCTGCCACATGCACAAGGGAGGACCTCCTTGCGGCAACACCAGAGGCACTCCAAGTGGCCAGATACTGGTCAAAGGACATTTAATCAACTACCAAACTCACAAATTTTGTATTTTGTCTGTTTGTTTGTTTTGTTCTGTTAGAAATGCAATACAATGGTCTGGTTGCCCCTGACACAATAAAAAAAATTTGTCTGTCATGGATATTTTTTAATTAAATAAAGATTCTTTTTATTGCAATTTCAGTGTGCGAGGGCATATCAGAGCAACGTTTACACAGAGAAATAAGGTAGACATACAGATTATCTACACTACATTGAGTGCATAACCAAATTACTGCTACATTGGCTAACAAACAAGCGGGTGGGGGTTCACATCTAGCAAAACGAAAGTTGTAAACTGTTGTAAACAACTGTGCTGTGCTGTTCTTAAGTATGTCGGCTGGTTTATTCCAGCAAACATATTTAAGAACAACACAGCACGGTTGTTTATAACAGTTTACAACTTTCGTTTTGCTATTTGTTATCTCTGTTCTTTGGGTTTCGCATCTGCTCAGCGTTCACACTACTCATATTATTATTTTTTTATTTACGCTATTTGTATACCTCTTTTCTCACCTCAACGGGAACTCAAAGCAGTTTTTATATAATCATTCATTCTTCCTCTGTTGCCTGGAGAAGACCACCTGCATTTAGGCCAGATTTCCAATATTTCCAAAACTTCCAAAATGCACTTTTTCCTTTTTCCTGAGAATCCTAAAATCCTAGACTTGGCAATCCAGTCCAACCCCATTCTGCCAAGAAGCAGGAAAATTGCATTCAAAGCACCCCCGACAGATGGCCATCCAGCCTCTGTTTAAAAACCTCCAAAGAAGGAGCCTCCACCACACTCCCTCCGGGGCAGAGAGTTCCACAGCTCTCACAGTCAGGAAGTTCCTCCTAATGTTCAGATGGAATCTCCTTGTTTGTAGTTTGAAGCCATGGCTCCATTGCGTCCTAGTCTCCAGGACAGCCGAAAAAGAGCTTGCTTCTTCCTCTCCAGGACTTCCCCTCACATATTTATACATGGCTATCATGTCTTTTCTCACCCTTCTCTTCTTCAGGCTATACATGCTTAGCTCTTTAAGCCGCTCTTCATAGGGCTTGTTCTCCAGACCCTTGATCATTTTAGTCGCCCTCCTCTGGACACATTCCAGCTTGTCAATATCTCTCTTGAATTGTGGTGCCCAGAATTGGACACAATATACCAGGTGTAGTCTAACCAAGGCGGAATAGAGCATGGGGAGCATGACCTCCCTAGATCTAGACACTAGGCTCCTATTGATGTAAGCCAAAATCCCATTGGCTTTTTTAGCTGCAGCATCACATTATTGGCTCATGTTTAGCTTGTTGTCCACGAGGACTCCAAGATCTTTTTCACACGTACTGCCCTTCAGCCATGCGTCCCCCATTCTGTATCTTTGCATTTCATTTTTTTCTACCTAAGTGGAGCATCTTGCATTTGTACCTGAGGAACTTCTTTCTGTTACTTTTGGACAATCAACTCTCTAATCTGTCAAGATCCCTTTGGATCCTGCTCCTGTCCTCTGGAATCTTGGCTATCCCTCCCAATTTGGTGTTGTCTGCAAACTTTTTGAGCCTGCCTTCTAACCCTTCATCTAAGTCATTAATGGAGATCTTGCGCAGGACCGGGCCCAGGAGGGAACCCTGCGGATGGCACTCCACTCATCACTTCTTTCCAGGATGAAGAAGAGGAAGCCTTGGGGAGAATCACCCTCTGGGTTCGTCCACTTAAACAACTACAGATCCACCTCACCGTAGTTCTGCCTAGCCCACATTGGACTAGTTTGTTTGCCAGAAGGTCATGGGGGACCTTGTCGAAGGCCTTCCTGAAATCCAGATACACTCCATCCACGGCATTTTCCCTATATCTACCCAGCTTGGAACTCTATCAAAAGAAGCAAGTGACCAGACTGTGTTCCATTGCAATCTGCCACTCATCCAAATACACCATCTCTCTCTCCTTCCCATGGAGAAGGGCGGCAGGTGGGCCAGACTCCTCAGGTCTGCCACAATTTTGGAATGTTAGAAAGTCTCTTATATAGCCATATTTCCTGCTGATGTTGCTCCAAAAGTTGTTCCAGAAGCATTCTCTCCTGACGTTTCTCCCACATCTATGGCATCCTGAAAGGTTGTGAGGTCTGTTGGAAACTAGGCAAGTGAAGTTTATATACCTGTGGAATAATTTCAGGGTGGGAGAAAGAAAGAACCCTTGTCTGCTGGAGGCAAGTGTAAATTTGTAATTGGGTTGTTGTAGGTTTTTTCGGGCTATATGGCCATGTTCTAGAGGCATTCTCTCCTGACATTTCACCTGCATCTATGGCAAGCATCCTCAGAGGTAGTGAGGATGCTTGCCATAGAGGCAGGCGAAACGTCAGGAGAGAATGCCTCTAGAACATAGCCATATAGCAAAAAAAAAAAAACCCTACAACAACCCAGTGATTCCGGCCATGAAAGCCTTCGATAATACAATGTTGTAATTAATCACCTTGATTAGCATTTAATAGTCTTGCAGCTTCAAGGCATGGCTGCTTCCCTCCTGGGGGAATCCTTTGTTGGGAGGTGTTTACTTGCCCTGATTGATTCCTCTCTGGAATTTCCCTGTTTCCTGAGTGTTGCTTTTTATTTACTGTTCTGATTTTAGAGTTGTTAGGGCAAGCAACCAAGCTAGTAAACGCTTTGTATTGTTATTTGCAGTCTACCGTTGTGGAAGTGAGCTGGGCTGGAGCAGAAACTACGTCTTCCAGGCTTTGCTGAACTCCACCGCCTGGAGCCCCCGCTTTGCCGTCTTTGGGGACTTGGGCCTCTTGAACCCTCAATCCTTGCCTCGGTTGCAGCGCGAGACCGAAATGGGACTCTATGACGCAATTCTGCACGTGGGTAGGATTTTGTCTACCAAACTGTCTACCAAAATGCTTCTAATTTAGATCCTTTGCTACTTAGGAGGACTTAGATCAGGTGATAGGCAAACTTGGGCCCTCCAGGTGTTTTGGACTTCAACTCCCACAATTCCTAACAGCCTACCGGCTATTAGGAATTGTGGGAGTTGAAGTCCAAAACACCTGGAGGGCCCAAGTTTGACCATACCTGGTTGAGATCCTTTGCTACGTTGGGAAAACAAAGCCAAACTCAACTTCTCTCCTTTCCTTTGCAGGGGATTTTGCCTACGACTTCGATACGGTAAGATATGTAGAGTCAGCCTATATTTACGCTCTCGTTATAATTAAACGTGGGCCCTCAGTATCCACTGGAACCCCTCTTCCCAGTGGATACCGAAATCCATAGATGCTCAAGTCCAATTATATCCAATAATATAGTATTATGGCAGGACCCCCTGGTGCTGCAGTGGGTTGAACTGCTGAGCTGCTGAACTTGCTGACCGAAAGGTTGGTGGTTCAAATCTGGGGAGCGGGGTGAGCTCCCGCTGTTAGCCCCAGCTTCTGCCAACCTAGCAGTTTGAAAACATGCAAACGTGAGTAGACCCATAGGTAGTGTTCCAATGGGAGGGTAACATCGCTCCATGCAGTCCACGTGACCTTGGAGGTGTCTATGGACGATGCCGGCTCTTTGGGTTAGGAATGGAGATGAGATAGGTGCTGCTCCAATGGGAAGGTAACAGCGCTACATGCAGTCATGCTGGCCACATGACCTTGGAGGTGTCTATGGACGATGCTGGCTCTTTGGGTTAGGAATGGAGATGAGATAGGTGCTGCTCCAATGGGAAGGTAACAGCGCTCCATGCAGTCCACGTGACCTTGGAGGTGTCTATGGACGATGCTGGCTCTTTGGGTTAGGAATGGAGATGAGATAGGTGCCGCTCCAATGGGAAGGTAACAGCGCTACATGCAGTCATGCTGACCACATGACCTTGGAGGTGTCTATGGACGATGCCGGCTCTTTGGGTTCGAAATGGAGATGAGTACCAACTCCCAAAGTTGGACACGACTAGACTTAATATAAGGGAAAACCTTTATCTTTACCTTACTTCCTTTTGGGTGGTGTTTTATTGTCCTTGTGAGCCTTTTTCATGTTTGTTTCCCATGGCAGACACTTTAGTTGATTTCTAAGACTAAGGCTATTTAGCTAATCAAGCCTATTCTTCATGATATTGCTATTTATGAATCAAATTAAATCAGCTCCTTGTCTCTTGTCCTCTTCAGGGCCTTTTTGGCAGCTGCACCACAAGTAAAAACTATTATACATCCAATTTATTTATTATTGATATCCTGTGGAGTGTAACCCCGTTGAGCATAGGTTGCCACCTTATACCCCGGTCAATCACATGTTATTTCTTATTATTATCGCTGCGCCTGCTGCTCAAATGCTTGGCCCCACTGAAATGGCAGGGAGAAAGTTTTAGGAAAAGAGACAAAGAGAGTTCCTGGGGTCTGAAAAAGCACGGGTTTATTTCCAGCTGGGACTCTGGAGTGGAACATTGTCCAAAAGCAACCAGAGCCCCGATAAAGGCATTGACTATGCCTTTTATACACTTCAAATGCAGGCAAACAAAGAAACATGCTTCTACATACATTGACATCATTCTCTGCGTCACTTTAGCATCACAGAAATATCAAATTCTGTATTTCTTTCTAAAGAGCAGCATACAGCTTACAGCTTACATCAGTGTTTCTCAACCTTCCTAATGCTGTGACCCCTGAATATAGTTCCTCATGTTGTGGTGAACCCCACAACCATAAAATTGTTTTAGTTGCTAACTGTAATTTTACTACTGTAATGCATCATAATGTAAATATCTGATATGCAGGATACATTTTCATTCACTGGACCAAATTTGGCACAAATACCCAATTCGCCCTAATTTGAATACTGTTGGGGTTGGGAGGGGATTTATTTTTGTCATTTGGGAGTTGTAGTTGCTGGGATTTATAGTTCATCTACAATCAAAGAGTATTCTGAACTCCACCAATGATGGAATTGCACCAAACTTGGCACACAGAACCAACAGAAAATACTCGGAGGGTTTGGTGGGCATTTATCTTGAGTTTTGGAGTTGTAGTTCACCTATATCCAGAAAGCACTGTGGACTCAAACAATGGTGGATCTTGACCAAACTTGGCACGAATCCTCACTATGCACAAATGTGAACACTGGTGGAGTTTGGGGACAATAGACCATGACATTTGAGAGTTGTAGTTTCTGGGATTCATAGTTCACCTACAATCAAAGAGCATTGTGAACCCCATGAACGGCAAAATTGGGCCAAACTTCCCACACAGAACCCCCATGATCAACAGAAAATACTGTGTTTTCTGATGGTCTTTGGTGACCCCTTTGACACCCCCTGGCGACCCCCTCAGGGATCCCAACCCCCAAGTTGAAAAACGCTGACTTACATTCATCAATCAAGGGGCCTACTTTGACTTGTCAGGAGGGAGCGATAGGCTCCTTACTTGGCTATAGCCTGGGCTCAGTAACAGTCTCTGTATAGGAATGTATAGATAACATGTCCCCCACTTCTGGAATGTTCACCTCCCTCTTTCTGCACCTGGACGCAGCTTGGCTTGTCCTGTCAGCTTGGATTTCTGATACAGAGAGAACTTGATTTTTCTATACATTTCAGTGCTTGTAAAGTACATACAATTTATACATAAATAAATATCTATTTTTCCAATATCTCCCATCACCACAACCATGATTTCAGTTTCTTCCTAAAGGACAGGAGAGAGGGGCGGACCTGATTTCATTAGGGAGTGTGTTCCACAGAAGGGGACCACCACCGAGAAGTGACTTCTCCACCACCGTGACTTTTCCACCTTTCTCAAGGGCGTTATTTCTTCCCTCCCACCCTTTTGCAGATGGATGCCCACTTTGGAGATGCCTTCATGAGGAAAATCGAACCCGTGGCAGCATCAGTGCCGTATATGACTTGCCCAGGGAACCACGAGGAGAAATAGTAAGTAGTAGCCACAGACCAGCCAATAACACCACGAGACACGGTTTTTGTTCCTGGGTGGTATATGCCGTTTTCTAATTGCTACTATCATGAAAACATGGGGAAAGTTGCAAAAACTTTGATTCTGCGGGAGGGACGTCCCTGCTATAGCACATTTTGCTTGAGTTTTCCAATGAATCTCTCATTGAGTCTCAACCAATTCTATATAGTTTGTGCCACAAAAAAACAAAGTTTCTGGAGTAGAACAACTACTTTCAAAGCAAAGACTTCACACTTCAAACCAGGAACAGATTTGTTCCCCCCAAATTTTGTTACATAGTGTAATACATGAAGTATGGGATATATCAGGCCTGGGCAAACTTTCTAACTTTGGGGCTGAATGCTAGCACTCTCTGCTGCCTGGGGATTGAAAGAAGGAAGGAAAGGAAGGAAGGAAGGAAGGAAAGAAGGAAGGAAGGAAGGAAGGAAGGAAGGAAGGAAGGGACTTGTGCCATCATGATTATTGCAATCCGCATTTGCAGTCATTGCACAATTGCAGTGCCCAAAGGGGTTGATGGAAGTAAGGAAGGAAGAAAAGAGAGAAGGATGAAAGGAGGAAAGGAGGCATGGAAGGAGAAAGAGGAAGGCGGGAGGAAAAGGGGAAGGAAGGAAGGAAAGACAAAAGAGAAGGAAGGAAGGATGAAAGGGTGGAAAAGAAGGAAGGGAGGGAAGGAAGGAAGGAAAGGATAAAGGAAAAAGAGAATGAAGGAAACCTGGGAGGAGATGGAAGAAGGGAAGAAAAAGAAAGAAAAAAGAAGGAAGGAAGGAAGGAAGGAAGGAAGGAAGGAAGGAAGGAAGGAAGGAAGGAAGGAGGAAAGAAGGAGGAGAAAGGGAAGGAAGGAGGGAGGAAGGAAGAAGGGAGGGAGGGAGGAAAGAAGGAAGGAAGGAAGGAGAAGGAAGGAGAAAAGGAAGGAAAGGAGGGATGAAGGAGAAAGAGGGAGAGAGGAAGGAGGGAGGAAAGGGGAGGAAGGAAAGACAAAAGAGAAGGAAGGAAGGATGAAAGGGTGGAAGGGATGGATGGATGGATGGAAGGGAGGAAGGGAGGGAGGGAGGGAGGGAAGGAAAGAGAAGGAAGGATGAAAAGTAGGAAAGGAGGGGTGGAAGGAGAAAGAGAGAGAGGGAAGGAGGGAGGAAAAGGGGAAGGAAGGAAAGACAAAAAGAGAAGGAAGGATGAAAGGGTAGAAGGGAGGGAGGGAGGAAGGAAGAGGAGGAAGGAGAAGGAAAAGAGGGATGAAGGAGAAAGAGGAGGAGAGGGAAGGAGGGAGGAAAAGGGGAAGGAAGGAAAGACAAAAGGGAAGGACGGAAGGATGAAAGGGTGGGAAGGAAAAATGGAAGAAAAGGGAAGGAGGAAGGAAAAAGAGAAGGAAGGAACAAAAAGGGAAGAAGAGAAGGGTGAAAGGAAGGAAGAGAAGGATGAAGAAAGGGAATGATAAAAGAAAGAGAGAAGAAATAAATACAGAAGGGAAGGGAAGAAGGAGAAAGAGTGAGAGAGGGAAGGAAGGAAGGAAGGACGAAAGGATGGAAGGGAAGGAGAAATAGGGAGGGAAAGAGGAAGGAAAGAGAGAAAGACGGAAGGAAAGGAAGGTGAGAGAGAAGGGTTTGAAAAAAAGAGCCCAAGGGGTACTTAGTTTCTCCTAAGTAACTTTTTCTTTTCATTTCCTCCTCCAGTAACTTCTCCAACTACCGCTTTCGCTTCAGCATGCCTGGGAACACAGAGAGCCTCTGGTACAGGTGCGTGTCTTCTAATCTAGTGTCCTGGCCTTTCAGTTAACTATTCCAGTTGTATTTTAATGTGGTTTGCCTTTAAGAAAAGTTACCCCTTGTTTTTTAAAATCTATATTGACCTTTATAGGTAAAATTACTGTCATTTGACACCACTTAAACTACCATGTCTCTAAAGCGATGGATTACTGGGAGTTGTAGTTTGCACACTTTGGTAGAGGAGGCTGAAGACCTTGTCAAACTATCTCTCCTATGATTCCATAGCATTGAGGCATGTCAGACTATAGCTCTTAGGATTCCAGGTTTGTCAAACTATAACTCCCATGAGTCCATAGCATTGAGCCATGGCAAACTATAGCTGGTATGATTATATAGCACTGAACCATGGAAAACTATAGCTCCTATGATTACATAGGATTGAGTATGGCAAACTATAGCTCCTATGATGCCAACCTTGACAAACTATAGCTCCTATGATTCTGTAGCATTGACCCATGTTAAACTGTAGGTCCCACAGTTCCAACCTTGTCAAACTATAATTCCATAGCATTGAACCATAACAAACTATAGCTGCTATGAATCCATAGCATTGAGCCATAGCAAACTATAGCTCCTATGATTCCAACCTTGTCAAACTATACCTCCTTGTCAAACTATACCTATGATTCCAACTTTGTTAAACTATAGCTCTTGTGATTCCAAGCATTTGGAACTAAAGCTCCTGTGAGTCCAACCTTTTCAAACTATAGCTCCCATGAGTGCATGGCATTGAGCCAAAGCAAACTATAGCTCGACTCCTGTGAGTCCAAACTTGTCAGACTATAACTCCTGTGATTCCAACCTTTTCAAACTATAGCTCCCATGAGTGCATGGCATTGAGCCATAGCAAACTATAGCTCCTGTGAGTCCAAACTTTTCAAACTATAACTCCCATGAGTGCATGGCATTGAGCCATAGCAAACTATAGCTCCTGTGAGTCCAACCTTTTCAAACTATAGCTCCCATGAGTGCATGGCATTGAGCCATAGCAAACTATAGCTCCTGTGATTCCAACATTGTCAGACTATAGCTCCCATGAGTGCATGGCATTGAGCCATCGCAAACTATAGCTCCTATGATTCCAACCTTGTCAGACTATAGCTCCCATGAGTGCATGGCATCGAGCCATAGCAAATTATGACTCATGTGAATCCAACCTTGTCAGACTATAGCTCCCATGAGTGCATGGCATTGAGCCATAGCAAACTATAGCTCCTGTGAGTCCAACCTTTTCAAACTATAGCTCCCATGAGTGCATGGCATTGAGCCATAGCAAACTATAGCTCCTGTGAGTCCAACCTTTTCAAACTATAGCTCCCATGAGTGCATGGCATTGAGCCATAGCAAACTATAGCTCCTGTGAGTCCAACCTTTTCAAACTATAGCTCCCATGAGTGCATGGCATTGAGCCATAGCAAACTATAGCTCCTGTGAGTCCAACCTTTTCAAACTATAGCTCCCATGAGTGCATGGCATTGAGCCATAGCAAACTATAGCTCCTGTGAGTCCAACCTTTTCAAACTATAGCTCCCATGAGTGCATGGCATTGAGCCATAGCAAACTATAGCTCCTGTGAGTCCAACCTTTTCAAACTATAACTCCCATGAGTGCATGGCATTGAGCCATAGCAAACTAAAGCTCCTGTGAGTCCAACCTTGTCAGACTATAGCTCCCATGAGTGCATGGCATTGAGCCATAGCAAATTATGACTCATGTGAGTCCAACCTTGTCAGACTATAGCTCCCATGAGTGCATGGCATTGAGCCATAGCAAACTATAGCTCCTATGAGTCCAACCTTGTCAGACTATAGCTCCCATGAGTGCATGGCATTGAACCATAGCAAACTATAGCTCCTGTGAGTCCAACCTTATCAGACTATAGTTCCTGTGATTCCAACCTTGTCAGACTATAACTCCTATGATTCCAACCTTTTCAAACTATAGCTCCCATGAGTGCATGGCATTGAGCCATAGCAAACTATAGCTCCTGTGAATCCAACCTTGTCAGACTATAGCTCCTATGATTCTAGCCTTGTCAGACTATAACTCCCATGAGTGCATGGCATTGAGCCATAGCAAACTATAGCTCCAATGATTCCATGGCATTGAGGCATGGCAGTCCAAGTGGTGTCAAACTACATTCCTTCTATCTAGTGTAGACAAACCCAGCGTTATGAATCAAATTCATTCGTAAGTAAAATAGTTGCCTCAGTTTCCCATTTTGTCGCTCCTCTCCCAGTGGGTTGCTTACTGACGGCCTTCCTTGCCTTCCAGCTGGGACATCGGTCCTGCTCATATCGTCTCCTTCTCCACCGAGGTTTACTTCTATTTGGATTACGGCCGGGACCTCGTGGCCAAGCAGTTCCAATGGCTGGAGCAAGATCTGCAGGTAAGGATCGGGGCCGGACCTTCGTTGGAGGCTGGTGGACTTCAAACCTTTAAGGTTCTGAAACCTAAAAGTGGTTAACCAGGGTTGCGTTTACACTATGGAATGAATGCAGTTTGACCCCACTTGAACCATCATGGCTCAATGCTTGTGAAGGTTTGGGTTGTTGGGAATTGTGAGAGTTGAAGTCAGAGACACCTGGAGGGCCAAAGTTGGTCCATGCCTTGTGTAGATGCAGTTGCCATGATTCTCAATTGTTGCTTTTTTCCTGAACTTTTCTGGCAGGAAGCGCATAAACCGGAGCGGCGCAAGGAGCGCCCTTGGATCATAACCATGGGGCACCGGCCCATGTACTGCTCCAACAACGATCGGGACGACTGCACACAGCACGAAAGCATTGTGAGTGCGAGGGGAAAGCAAACGTGAAACCTTGGGGCACAACTACACCAACTAAGGCTGTGTCTACACTTTGGAATCAAAACAGTTTGACACCACTTGAACTGCCATGGGCTCATTGCTATTGAATCCTAGGAGCTGCAGTTTGCAAACTACAATTGCCATCGTATTTATTTATTTATCGTGTCAGAAGTGAGTTGAGAATACAGTTATAATGTATAGAAAAAGCACAAACAAAGCTAAAAACTTGGCATTATGCTACATTTCCTGTGACCAGAAGCTGGCCACTTGGAGTGCCTCTGATATTGCTGTGAGAAGGTCCTCCATTGTGCATGTGACAGGGTTCAGGCTACATTGTTCACTCTTCTCCACACTCGCATGTCGTGGACTCCACTTTGTGGCCCCATTTCTTAAGGTTGGCTCTGCATCTCGTGGTGCCAGAGCGCAGTCTGTTCAGGGCCTTCCAAATCACCCAGCCTTCTGTGAGCCTAGGAAGGAGTTTCTCTTTGGTCTCAGCCACTGATTGAGATTCTGGATTTTCGCCTGCCACTTTTGGACTCTTGCTTGCTGAGGTGTCCCTGCAAGTAACTCTATAGATCTTAGGAAGCCGTTTCTTGATTTAAGATCTTGGCATGCTGGCTGATATCCAAACAGAGGATAGGCCAGAGATGTCACTGCCTTGGTCCTTTAATTACTGGCTGCTACTTCCCAACGAATATCAGGTGGTGCAATACCAGCTAAACAGTATAGTTTTTCCAGCATTGTAGGGCGTAGTCATCCTGTGATAATGTGGCATGTCTCATTAGCATCTTAGAGCAACCTCCACTGTTTTAACATGGTGAGATGTGTTCCACACTGGGCATGTGTACTTAGCAGCAGAATAGCAAAGCGCAAGGGCAGATGTCTTCACTGTGTCTGGTTGTGATCCCCAGGTTGTGCCAGTCAGCTTTCGTACGATATTATTTCTAGCATCCACTTTTTGCTTGATATTCAAGCAGTGCTTCTTGTATGTCAGAGCATGGTCCAGGGTAACTCCCAGGTGTTTGGATGTACTGCAATGCTCCAGTGCAGTAATCCAACCTCTAGAGAATAGGGCTCCATAGGCAGCTACGGAACTACCCTGGAGGATTATCCTACTTGGACAACGAGGGATCGCCTAAGTAAATAAGTCTGGTGTGGGTCCGTAAGTGGCTGTGGAGCCCTATTCTTGATCTGCATCTTCTCCCGCAGTGAGGGAATCGGTTTCCAGGTGGAAGGCGATCTCGGTCGGGGTTGGCTTGATACGCCTTCCTCTTGGCACGTTTCTCTCTTTCACCCTCTATTTGTGCCTCTTCAAATTCTACAGCACTGCTGGTCACAGCTGACCTCCAACTGAAGCACTCAAGGGCCAGGGCTTCCCAGTTCTCAGTGTCTATGCCACAGTTTTAAAGGTTGGCTTTTAGTCTCTTTTCCTGTCCTCCAACATTATGTTTTCCGTTCTTGAGTTCGGAATAGAGCAACTGCTTTGGGAGACGGTGGTCAGGCATATGGATGGTGGCCGGTCCAGCAGAGTTGATGGCGGAGGACCATTGCTTCAGTGCTGGTGGTCTTTGCTTCTTCCAGCACTCTGACATTTGTCTGCTTGTCTTCCCTAGAGATTTGCAGGATTTTCCAGAGGCATCACTGATGGAATCGTTCCAGGAGTTGCGATTCCTGGAATTAATAGGCAGTAAGAATGCCTAAAGCTTTGGAGAGCTTCTGCTCAACAATTTCAAAGCTCCCTGCTTGGGTGGTGATGGCACGATTGTCAGCGTAAATGAAACTCTCTGTCCCTTCTGGCAACGGCTGGTCATTTGGCATGCTCCCCTGAGGCAGGCTGTTCTGTTTTCACCATCTGCTTCATAGTATTCAAGTGCTGCCAATCTGCATTGACTCTGAGGTGTAGATCCAGCCCAAGATGTAACATAGATGGATTTTTAGTTTTCATCATGTTTTAATCTCCCTGTTTCCTAGGTCCGCTGTGGGCTTGACTCCCACCAGTACGGCTTGGAAGATTTATTCTACAAATATGGTAAGTTTTCACCAATACACTATGTAACACTGATGGGGAGATATTGGAAAAATAGATATTTATTTATGCATATATTGTATGTACTTTACAAGCATTGAAATGTATAGAAAAATCAGGTTCTCTCTGTGTAAGAAAGCCGCAGGACGGAGAGAATGCAGAAGGAGATCTGTGTTAAAAGGGGGAGGAGAAGGGGGACTTGTTATCTATACATTCCAGAGAGAGAGAGAGAGAGACTGGTACAACATAACCCAGGCTATAGCTAAGTAAGGAGCCTATCCTCTCTCCCCCCTGACAAGTCAAAATAGGCCCCTTGATTGATGAATGTAAGCTGTATGCTGCTCTTTCGAAAGAAATACAGAGACATGGCTTTTGTATGTTGGAAGACAGAATTTGATATTTCTATGATGCTAGAGTGACGCAAAGAATGATGTCAATGTATGTAGAAGCATGTTTCTTTGTTTGCTTGCATTTGAAGTGTATAAAAGGCAGTCAACGCCTATGCTGGCACGGCTGTGCCAGGAGATTTGAATTTCCTTTTCTTGCACTGTTAGTTTGCATGAATCTATTTGGGCCATGCATTTTGCAATTGGGTAGCTTTCCCCAGGTTGCAGTCATAGGGCCAACAACCTATCAATCAACATTAGAGCCTTTAGATCCGCCCCTTTCCCCAGGTTTGGAGGGAAAAGGGGACTTTGAGTTCAGTCTCACAGTTTGGAGCCTTACAGCAGGACGTGTGGGCTTTTTCTGTCCCACCTACAAAAAGCTTCACTTCTTACAGCTTTGCTGGGGTTAAAGAAATAGATCTACAGCCAGCTTTGCTGTTGTTGTTTTTTTATCGTGTCAGGCAACCGAACAGTTGTATTACATTTTTGACAGAACAAACAAACAAACATACAAAAGACACAGAGTTTGCAAGCTTGGTAGTTGATTAAATGTCCTTTGACCAGTACCTGACCTCTTGGAGTGCCTCTGGTGTTGCCACAAGAAGGTCCTCCCTTGTGCATGTAGCAGGGCTCAGGTTGCAGTGCAGCAGGTGGTCAGTCGTTTGCTCTTCTCCACACTCGCATGTTGTGGATTCCACTTTGTAGCCCCATTTCTGAAGTTTGTCTCTGCATCTCGTGGTGCCAGAGTGCAGTCTGTTCAGCACCTTCCAAGTTGCCCAGTACTCTGTGTGCCCAGCGGGGAGTCTCTCATTTGGTATCAGCCATTGATTGAGGCTCTGGGTTTGAGCCTGCCACTTTTGGACTCTTGCTTGCTGAGGTGTTCCAGCGAGTGTCTCTGTAGATCTTAGAAAACTATTTCTTGATTTAAGTTGTTGACGTGCTGGCTGATACCCAAACAAGGGATGAGCTGGAGATGTCTCTGCCTTGGTCCTTTCACTATTGGCTGCTACTTCTCGGCGTATGTCAGGTGATGCAATACTGGCTAAGCAGTGTAATTTCTCCAGTGGTGTAGGGCGCAGACACCCTGTGATAATGTGGCATGTCTCATTAAGAGCCACACCCACTGTTTTAGCATGGTGAGATGTGTTCCACACTGGGCATGCATACTCAGCAGCAGAGTAGCACAGCGCAAGGGTGGATGTCTTCACTGTGTCTGGTTGTGATCCCCAGGTTGTGCCAGTAAGCTTTCGTATGATATTGTTTCTAGCACCCACTTTTTGCTTGATATTCATATTGAATATTTGCTGGGGTTAAAGAAATAGATCTACAGCCATCTTTGCTGGGGAGTAAAGTTACAGTTCCACAGCTTTTGCTGGGGGAATACAGCCAGCTTTGCTGGAAAATAAAGGAATGGTTTCATGGTCTTCGTGGGGCAAATCTACAGGACACCAGCTTGGCAGATCTGCAGCAACCATTGCCTGGTAAGGGACCACTCGGACTATCCATAACGCAGCTTGGAGTTGGGAGTTGGGGCCTCACGCCAGCACGGTTAAGAAAGATTGCCCAAGGAAGGGTCGGAAGGTTTCCCTAAAGAAGAAAGGAACAGTTTATCAAGCAGTTGCCTGTCCCTTGTCGGCAGATGGAGAAAGCTACCAGCTTTTTAAGATTATAATTTATTTATTTTTATTTATTACTGTTCTTGTATACCGCCGTTTCTCAGCCTACTATGGCGACTCAACGCGGTTTACATCAATACAGTGTACAACAATATACAATTTAAAAGCATAACACATAGACAATAAAACAGTATTGGGCCACCAATACGGTCGGTGTATCTCTTAACTAAAAACATAATCCGATCTCATCATCCGTGATTACCGATCCTTGGTCATTAACTTCATTGCATCAGGTTAGCCGAATGCTTGCTGAAACATCCACGTTTTTAGCTTTTTTCTAAATGCCATCAATGAAGAGGCAGATCTTATCTCTACAGGGAGGGCATTCCAAAGCCGAGGGGCTACCACAGAAAAGGCCCTGTCTCTCGTTCCCGCGAGCCGCACCTGTGAAGCAGGCGGGATAGAGAGAAGGGCCTCCCCCGAAGATCTTAGGGTCCTGGTGGGCTGATAGGCCGAGATGCGTTCGGATAGATATGTTGGGCCAGAACCGTTTAGGGCTTTAAAGGCCAACGCCAGCACTTTGAATTGGGCCCGGAAGCAGATCGGAAGCCAGTGGAGCTGGTACAGCAGAGGAGTTGTATGCTCCCTGCGCCCCGCTCCAGTTAGTACCATGGCCGCCGCACGTTGGACTAGTTGAAGCTTCCGAGCCGTCTTCAAAGGCAACCCCACGTAGAGAGCGTTGCAGTAATCAAGACGGGATGTAACCAGAGCCTGGACTACCGTGGCCAAGTCAGACTTCCCAAGGTATGGGCGCAGTTGGCGCACAAGTTTTAACTGTGCGAATGCTCCCTTGGTCACCGCTGAGACCTGGAGATCCAGGCTCAGCGCTGAATCCAAGATCACACCCAAACTGCGAACCTGTGTCTTCAGGGGGAGTGCGACCCCATCCAACACAGGTTGTAACCCCATACCCTGTTCGGCCTTACGACTGACCAGGAGTACCTCTGTCTTGTCTGGATTCAATTTCAATTTGTTCGCTCCCATCCAGACCGTCACAGCGGCCAAGCACCGGTTCAGGACCTCGACAGCCTCCTTAGTAGCAGGTGGAAAGGAGTGACAGAGCTGGACATCATCTGCGTACAGATGACATCTCACTCCGAAACTCCGGATGATCTCGCCCAGCGGCTTCATGTATATGTTGAACAACATGGGAGACAGTATTGAACCCTGAGGAACCCCACAAGACAAAGGTTGTGGGGTTGAACAGGAGTCTCCCAATAACACCTTCTGAGATCGACCCTCGAGGAATGACCGGAGCCACTGCAAAACAGTACCTCCAAGACCCATCCCCGAGGCGTCCCAGAAGGATACCGTGGTCGACGGTATCGAAGGCCGCTGAGAGGTCGAGTAGCACCAACAGGGACACACTCCCCCTGTCGAGCTCCCGACGCAGATCATCCACTAAGGCGACCAAGGCTGTCTCAGTACCATGCCCCGGCCTAAAGCCAGACTGTGCTGGATCCAGATAATCCGTGTCTACCAAGAATGCCTGGAGTTGTGAGGCCACCACACGTTCCATGACTTTGCCCAAAAAGGGAAGATTGGAAACAGGCCGATAGTTGACGAATTGAGTGGGATCCAGTGATGGTTTCTTCAACAGCGGTTTTATCACAGCTTGCTTTAAGCTGGCTGGAATTTTGCCCTTCCCGAAGGGAGGCATTAACCACCACCTTCACCCACTCGGCCAATCCCCCTCTGGCCTCCTTTAGAAGCCAGGCATGGGCAGGGGTCTAGGATGCATGTGGTAGCTCTCATTCCTCCAAGCACCTTGTCCACATCCTCGGATTGAACCAATTGAAATGAATCCATCAAAACCGGACAAGCAGATGCTCGTGTTACATCCTCAGATACTGCCGTTAATATGGTATCCAGTCCAGAGCGGATCAAAGCGACTTTGTCTGCAAAGAACTGAGCAAAGGCTTCGCAGCGAGCTGCCGAGTCATCAGGGCACCCATCCTGAGTGGTGGGTTTCAATAGGCCTCTGACAACTCGGAACAGTTCAGCCGGACGGTTTTTCGCAGACGCAATAGTGGCCGCAAAGAAAGTTTTCTTTGCGGCCCTTATTGCCGCGGCATATGCCCTTAAAAAGGACACAAACCGTGTTCGGTTTGGCTCGCTCGGATCCGAACGCCACACGCTCTCTAGTTCCCTCTTCTTTCGCTTCAACGCTCCCAGCTCAGTAAACCAAGGAGATGGTTTACCTCGGCTACTTAAGAGGGGACGTTCTGGAGCAATCGTGTCTTTTGCCCTGGCCAACTCCCCATTCCAGAGGGACCAGGGCATCAACAGGATCACCAACCGAGGTGGCGGGAAATTCCCCAAGAGCCGTCAGGAATCCATTCGGATCCATAAGCCTCCTGGGGCGGACCAGTTTAATAGGTCCTCCACCTCTGCGAAGGTTAGGAGGTGCAGTAAGCCTAAAGCTGACCAGGTGGTGGTCGGTCCATGGCAACGGAGAGATGGATAACTCCTCAACACCGCCACCTTCCTCCCATCCCTGACAGAAAACATTTAATTCACTATAAAGCATTTAATTCACTTGTTTGAAGATTTAAGCCTTAATAAAGAACTTTGTTGGATTTATTTTGAGCCTCTACAGAACTTTGTGTTGGGAAACCTATGGGGCCCTTTAGCTGAGGCACCCCGTTGGGCATACAGAAAGCACGTCCTGTAAACAAACATTGTCATAGGCCCAGCGTGTGACAGCACAATGCCTTTATCGGACACTCTGGTTTGCTTTTGGAGACAACTCCTCACCAGAGTCCCAGCTGGAAATAAAGCCGTACTTTTCTTTCTCCAGAATGGATCTCTCTTGATATTCTCTCTCCTATCATGCTGCAACAACACTATTTTTGTTGTTGCAACATGGTACAAATAAAGTGTTGTTATTATTATTGTTGTTGTTGTTGTTCTTCCTGGGTTGAAAATGTCATTTCCTAATTGGTTCTATCACAAAACATGGGGAAAGTTCACTAAGCTGCAACTTTGGTTTTTGCAAGACTTTCCTGTTCTAGCACATTTTGCTTTCGTTTTTCGATGACTATCTCATCAAGTCTCAATGAATTCAACATAGTTTGTGTCACAAAAACGAAGTTTCTGGAGCAGAACAACTACTTTCAAAGTAAAGACCATGCAATTCAACAGGAAATAACACTTTCAAACCAGGAACATAGCACAATATTATTGCATGGCCTTTCCACCCAAACCTTTCTTCTACCTGCCTTGCAAAAGACTGGTTTCATTCTCATCTTCTTGGTCTACTTTTCTCTCTCTGGTTTCCAGGAGTCGATCTGGAATTATGGGCCCACGAACACTCCTACGAGAGGCTCTGGCCGCTCTACAACTACAAGGTATTGTTAAGTTGTTGTTGCTATGATGATGATGATGATGATGATGATGATGATGATGATTATTATTACTATTATTTCAATTTATTTATCTTCCTCAGCCCATAGACAATATTTTTCTTACTTCTATATCTCTTTGCTCCCTTCTTCAGGTCTATAATGGCAGCACGGAGGCTCCATATACCAATCCTGGGGCCCCTGTCCATATCATCACTGGATCGGCCGTAAGTTACAAAAGTTTGAGGATTGAGTTACATCTGCATTGGTAGAATGAATGCAGTTTGAATGCACTTTTAACTGACCAATGCTGCAATGCTATGGGATCCTGGGAGTTGTAGTTTGACAAGAGATGCACCTGCACCGTTGAATTAATGCAGTTTTGGCACCATTTTCATTACAGTGGGATCCTGGGAGTTATAGTTTGACATGGGATGCATTTGCACTGTTGAATTAATGCAGTTTTGGCACCACTTTAACTGCCATGACATCCTGAGAGTTATAGTTTGTCAAGGGATGCATCTGCACCGTTGAATTAATGCAGTTTTGGCACCATTTTCATTACAGTGGGATCCTGGGAGTTATAGTTTGTCATGGGATGCATTTGCACTGTTGAATTAATGCAGTTTTGGCACCACTTTAACTGCCATGGCATCCTGAGAGTTATAGTTTGTCAAGGGATGCATCTGCACCGTTGAATTAATGCAGTTTTGGCACCATTTTCATTACAGTGGGATCCTGGGAGTTGTAGTTTCACACGGGATGCATTTGCATTGTTGAATTAATGCAGTTTTGGCACCACTTTCATTGCAGTGGGATCCTGGGAGTTATAGTTTGACAAGGGATGCATCTACACTATTGAATTAATGCAGTTTTGGCACCACTTTCATTGCTGTGGGATCCTGGGAGTTGTAGTTTGACAAGGGATGCATCTGCACTATTGAATTAATGCAATTTTGGCACCGCTTTAACTGCTGTGGGATCCTGGGAGTTGTAGTTTGACAAGGGATGCATTTGAACTGTTGAATTAATGCAGTTTTGGAACCACTTTAATTGCAGTGGGATCTTGGGAGTTATAGTTTGACAAGGGATGTATCTGTACAGTGGAATTAATGAAGTTTGGCACCACTTTAACTGCCTTGGTTCAGTGTTGCGGCATCCTGGGAGTGGTAGTTTTCCAAGGCCTTGAGGTGTGCATTCCTGGGATTTGTAGTTTGATAAGTCACTAAGCATTTTCTACTAGGAGAGCTCACTCATGGACAAATGGACAAACTTTGACCCTCCAAGTGTTTTGGACTTCAACTCCCACAATTGTAGTTTTGTAGTTTTACTAAGTTCCGAGCCGTCTCTGCTAAAGGATGCTATGGATTCCTGGGAGTTGTCGTTTTACTAAATCCTGAGCCGAAGAGTGCCAAACTACAACTCCCAGGACTCCATGAAGTTGAACTGCATTCATATCACAGTATAAAAAAGGCAAAAGACCTTGGAAACGACTATAAAACCCATGTTTCCATCACATTGAGCCAATGGCCATTCCATTGCATTGAGCCTTCTTTGCCTGGTTGCTTTGCACTAAGTGTTCCCCCTCTTTCCCCCTTTTAGGGTTGCCAAGAACGCCTCGATCCCTTTGTCCCCGAACCGAGGAACTGGAGCGCTGTGCGGATCGAAGACTACGGCTTCACTCGGATGCAGATCCTGAACCGAACCCACCTTTGGCTGGAGCAAGTGTCTGACGACAAGGTACTGATTAGGGTGTGTGTTGTGTGCTTTCCGGGCTGTGTGGCCAATGTGTTCGAGCAGCATTTCCTCCTGACATTTTGCCTGCATCTGCGGCTGGCATCATCAGAGGATCTGATGGTGGTAAAGCAAGTGGAGTCTATACAGAAAGTATGTATAGCAACACCGCTTGAGCTCTGCGAGTGCAGCATTCATCTGAATGAAGCAGAGAGTGTTTGAGGACCGGGACATCCGTAGGGAGACCAAGGGGCTTGTTTATAAAGCTATTGTCCTCCCAACCCTGCTATATGCCTGCGAAACGTGGACTGTCTACAAACATCAACAGTAAGACTGAAATACAACACCGTCTGAGATCTACGAGTGCAGCATTTTTCCAAATGAAGCAGAGAGTGTTTGAGCACCAGGAAATCCGTAGGGAGACCAAGGGGCTTGTTGATAAAGCTATTGTCTCCCAACCCTGTGAGACGTAGACTGTCTGCAGACATCAACATTGACACTGAAATACAACACCGCTTGAGCTCTGCGAGTGCAGCATTCATCCGAATGAAGCAGAGAGTGTTTGAGGACCGGGACATCCATAGGGATACCGAGGTGCTTGTTTATAAAGCTCTTGTCCTCCCAACCCTGCTAAATGCCTGTGAAGCATGGACTGTCTACAGATATCAATAGTAAGACTGATACAACACCGCCTGAGCTCTGCGAGTGCAGCATTTTTCCGAATGAAGCAGAGAGTGTTTGAGGACCGGGACATCCGTAGGGAGACCAAGGGGCTTGTCTATAAAGCTATTGTCATCCCAACCCTGCTCTATGCCTGCAAAACGTGGACTGTCTACAGACATCAACAGTAAGACTGAAATACAACACTGTCTGAGCTCTGCGAGTGCAGCATTTTTCCAAATGAAGCAGAGAGTGTTTGAGGACTGGGACATCCGTAGGGAGACCAAGGGGCTTGTTGATAAAGCTATTGTCTCCCAACCCTGCTCTACGCCTGTGAGACGTAGACTGTCTGCAGACATCAACATTGACACTGAAATACAACACTGCTTGAGCTCTGCGAGTGCAGCATTCATCCGAATGAAGCAGAGAGTGTTTGAGGACCGAGATATCTGTAGGGAGAACAAGGTGCTTGTTTATAAAGCTATTGTCCTCCAAACCCTGCTATACGCCTGCGAAACGTGGACTGTCTACAGGCGTCACACGCTACTCCTAGAACGATTCCATCAGCGCTGCATCCGGAAAATCCTGCAAATCTCTTGGGAAGGCAGGCGGGGAAATGTCTGCATGCTGGAAGAAGCAAAGACCACCAGCACTGAAGCGATGCTCCTCTGCCATCAACTCTGCTGGACCGGCCACGTTATCCGGATGCCCGACCACCGTCCCCCAAAGCAGTTGCTCTACTCCGAACTCAAGAACGGAAAATGGAATATTGGAGGAAAGGAAAAGAGATTGAAAGATGGGCTCAAAGCCAACCTTAAAAACTCTGGCATAGACACTGAGAACTGGGAAGCCCTGGCCCTTGAGCGCTCCCGTTGGAGGTCAGCTGTGACCAGCAGTGCTGCAGAATTTGAAGAGGCACAAATGGAGGGTGAAAGAGAGAAACGTGCCAAGAGGAAGGCGCGTCAAGCCAACCCCAACCGGGACCGCCTTCCACCTGGAAACCAATGCCCTCACTGTGGGAGAAGATGCAGGTCAAGAATAGGGCTCCACAGTCACCTACGGACCCACCCTGGAAGACTATCCTACTCGGACAACGAGGGATTGCCTAAGTAAGTAAAGTAAGCATTTTCTATGATGAGAGCTCTATAGTAGGACAGCTAATTGTCTATATGCGTCTGAAATATAAGCACCTGAAATCCTCGTGTTTTGCTTTTTCTCTTATAAGGACGGGAAGGTCGTCGATGGGATTTGGCTCATCAAAGAGCGGCACGGCCCCGAAGCATGGCGCACCCGAAAATGACCCGTTTCTGTGCCTGGGATTTCCACCTATTGATCTCCACTGCAAGAGATTGCAAGAGAAGAGATTCTACCGAAATATCCGCAAGAATGTGTTACCTCAAAGGGTCATGGACACATGCTCTCTCGTTTTCAAACTGAGTTTGGATGGCCATCTGTCGGGAGAGTTTGCATTGTACTTGGCAGAAAAAAGGGTTGGACTAGATGACCTTTGGGGGTCCCTTTCAACTCTATAATTCTACATTGATTTAAGACAGGCTTGATGTGTGTCAATTCTCCATTTCCAAAATTGCACAAGTATATCTTGATTCAATGCTATGGAATCCTGGGAGTTGTAGTTTGGTAAGGCAGAGAACGGCGGGAGACCTACAGTGCATTTTCTACGCCGTATAATGAATGTATTATGACCCCACTTTGCTCAGTGCTATGGATTGCTGGGAGATGTAGTCTTACTAAGTCCCTGATCCTTCTCTGCTAAAGAGTGCTACGGATTCCTGGGAGTTGTAGTTTTACTAAGTCCTCGAGCCTTCTCTGATAAAGAGTGCTACAGATTCCTGGGAGCTGTAGTTTTACTAAGTCCCTGATCCTTCTCTGATAAATAGTGCTACAGATTCCTGGGAGTTGTAGTTTTACTAAGTCACCGAGCCTTCTCTGCTAAAGAGTGCTACGGATTCCTGGGAGTTGTAGTTTTACTATGTCCCCGATCCTTCTCTGCTAAAGAGTGGTACAGATTCCTGGGAGTTGTAGTTTTACTAAGTACAAATCCTTCTCTGTTAAGGAGTGCTATGGATTTCTGGGAATTGTAGTTCCACGAAGTCCCGATTCTTATTTGCTAAAGAGTGCTATGGATTCCTGGGAGTTGTAGTTTTACAAAATCCCAAGTCTCCTCTGCTAAAGAGTGATATTGAACCTTGGGAGTTGTAGTTTTACTAAGCCCTGAGCTGTCCCTGCTAAAGAGTGCTATGAATTTCTTGGGACTAGGTCCCAAGGCGTCTCTGTCGAAAAAGTGCTGGTGCCTCACCAAACTACAACTCCCAGGATTCTGTATGCACTGAGCCGCGGTGTCTAAAGCGGTGTCAAACCGCATTTTATTCTGCAGTGTAGACACACCCTTTGTTGGTAAAGCTGCTGTAAAGAATGTGATACAAACCGAAAGATGACATTTTCTCATTGGATTAAATGATTTCAATCTAGTCCGGCGATCAAAACCAGATCAAGGGCGAATCTTGCTGCCTTCCAGATCTTTTGGACCGAGGATCATTGTTATTGCTGCTGTTTTTAAAAATAAATAAATAAATAAAATAGTTGTTGATTTATTCAAATTTTCTGGCACTTTAGCTACAATATTGTGGAGATATTTTACTGGGTTGAACCCAACTTTATTTCATGGAACAACCACTATTTGATGGGAAAATAAAGCTATTTCTGCAAATGGAAGTGTTCTGCAGACTTGCTCCATCCCTTTCCCCCCAACAGAGGGCACATTTCCATTACACAAATCTCCCCTATTGATCAGAAATAATAATACTAATACTATTACTCCTTGAGGGAGCTGGGGGTGGTAACGGCCGACAGGGAGCTCTGGCGTAGGCTGGTCCATGAGGTCACGAAGAGTCGGAGACGACTGAACGAATGAACAACAACATTACTAATACTACTATTACTATTACTACTACTACTAATAATAATAATAATTAGCAGATTCTCAATTAAGAAGATCGGTAGATGCTGGATTAATGTAGTTTCCGGTTGCTTGAGAGTTTCATATTAAAAATAGGCCTAATTGATACTTATACCCCATACTATGCAATTAATATCATGTCAAAACTTGGTATTGACATGATATTAATCCTGAAAGGTAGTAATTAAATGCAAATACTGACCTTAATACAGCCCAGTTTAAGTGGATTATATATATTTTAATTTATTATTATTATTATTATTATTATTATTATTATAAAAGTGTAATATTCATTTGTGGGATTAACATAACACAAAAACCACTACAAGAATTGATACCAAATTTGGACACAAGACACCTCTCAGGCCAACGAGTGACCATCACTCATAGAAACACTGGAAAACAAGCAGAAGAGGCTTAAAAGGCCAAAAAAAGCAAAAAGACACTACAGTATATGTGCAAAAACAACTCTCCTGGCAAACAAAACACACAAAAGCATATCCACACTCCCTTCCGGACTACATCTCCCAGCATCCCCTAGACCAGGCCCTTTAGGAGAGGAGGAGAGAAGAGACTTTAAAAGCCAATATATATATATATATATAACGCACAAAACTACGTACGAATATTGAATGAAAAGTAATGCCTCCCCCTTCGTAACTCCTCAACAGATTGCATTGCTGGTATGCAGCAGGTACTGGCTTGTTCAGTAGACTCTCCTCTACAGTTTGATTTTGGCAGGAAGTCTTAACGTTGAACGGTTGTGTTGTTAAAGTGCGAAGTATGGTACCCTGAGCAGAGGGTCAGACAATGCGACTTAAGCAACGTATGTGGCAGGTACTGGCTTGTTCAGTAGACTCTCCTCTACAGTTCCATTTTGGCAGGAAGCCTTAGCATTGAACGGTTGTGTTGTTAAAGTGTGAAGTATGGAACCCTGCACAGACAGTCAGTCAATGCAACTTAAGCAACGTATGCGGCAGGTACTGGCTTGTTCAGTAGGCTCTCCTCTACAGTTCCATTTTGGTGGGAAGCCTTAGCATTGAACGGTTGTGTTGTTAAAGTGCGAAGTATGGAACCCTGCACAGAGGTCAGTCAATGCAACTTAAGCAACGTATGTGGCAGGTACTGGCTTGTTCAGTAGACTCTCCTCTACAGTTCCATTTTGGCGGGAAGCCTTAGCATTGAACGGTTGTGTTGTTAAAGTGCGAAGTATGGAACCCTGCGCAGACAGTCAGTCAATGCGACTTAAGCAACTTATGCGGCAGGTACTGGCTTGTTCAGTAGACTCTCCTCTACAGTTCCATTTGGGCAGGAAGTTTTAGCTTTGAACGGTTGTGTTGTTAAAGTGCAAAGTATGAAACCCTGCGCAGACGGTCAGTCAATGCGACTTAAGCAACGTATGTGGCAGGTACTGGCTTGTTCAGTAGACTCTCCTTTACAGTTCCATTTTGGCAGGAAGCCTTAGCATTGAATTGTTGTGTTGTTAAAGTGCGAAGTATGGAACCCTACGCAGACAGTCAGTCAATACAACTTAAGCAACGTATGTGGCAGGTACTGGCTTGTTCAGTAGGCTCTCCTCTACATTTTGGCAGGAAGCCTTAGCAGTTGTCTGAAGGCCCAAAGATAACCATTTCCCAAAGCAGTTACTCTACTCCCAATTCACAAAGAAAGGAATATTGATGGACAGGAAAAGAGATGTAAAGATGGGCTTAAAGGCAACCTTAAAAACTGTGGCACAGACACTGAGAACTGGAAAGTCCTGGCCCTTGAGCGCTCTAACTGGAGGTCAGCTGTGACCAGCAGTGTTGTGGAATTTGAAGATGCATGAACGAAAGGGAGAAATATATATATGCATATATAGATACACACATATGTTGTATATGTATTTAAGTATCTACATACACATGTTGCAATTGTCATTTAAATACATATACAATGTGTGTGTATATCTATAGATGCATATATAGATGTACACAAACATTGTATATGTATTTAAATGTGCATTGCAACAGAAACGACCCCATTGATTGCTTCACAAGCTTTTGCAGACTGGAGACAAACTGATTATAATCATTGCCATACAATTAAATCATGAATGCTTATTATAATTAATTAACTTTGGGAGAAGAACTGATTAGAATTAATTCTGGGAAAGTCTATGTCTCTGGCGTAACTTTTCCAGCCTTTAGAAATCGCAATGCTATTGCTTTCCTATCCTTTTAATTAATACTAGCTGTCCCCTGCCACGCGTTGCTGTGGCCCACATGGGGGTCCTGTGTGGGAGGTTTGGCTCAGTTCTATCATTGGTGGGGTTTAGAATGCTCTGTGATTGTAGGTGAACTATAAATCCCAGCAACTAGAACTCCCAAATGTCAAGATTCTATTTTTCCCAAACTCCACCAGTGTTCATATTTGGGCATATTGAGTATTTGTGTAGAGTTTGGTCCAGATCCATCATTGTTTGAGTCCACAGTGATCTCTGGATGTAGGTGAACTACAACTCCAAAACCAAAGGACACTGCCCACCAAACCCTTCCAGTATTTTCTGTTGGTCAGGGGAGAACTGTGTGCCAAGTTTGGTTCAATTCCATCATTCGGGGAGTTCAGAATGCTCTTTGATTGTAGGTGAACTATAAATCCCAGCAACTACAACTCCCAAATATCAAGGTCTATTTCCCCCCAAACTCCACCAGTGTTCACATTTGGGCATATTGTGTATTCATGGCAAGTTTGGTCCAGATCCATCATTGTTTGCATCCAAAGTGCTCTCTGGATGTAGGTGAACTACAGCTCCCAAACTCAAGGTCAATGCCCACCAAACCCTTCCAGTATTTTCTGTTGGTCATGGGAGTTCTGTGTGCCAAGTTTGGTTCAATTCCATCATTGGCGGGATTCAGAATGCTCTTTGATTGTAGGTGAACTATAAATCCCAGCAACTACAACTCCCAAGGACATACATTGGGTTGTTAGGTGTCTTGTGTCCAAATTTGATGTCAATTCCCCCAGTGGTTTTTGAGTTCTGTTAATACCACAAACGAATATTACATTTTTATTTATATAGATAGAAAAAGATTACCATCTACTTGCAAAAGTAGTAGTAGTACTACTACTACTAGTAGTAGTAGTAGTGTGCGCGGCTCCTTTAAAAAGGGCGGGTTTATCTCAATCTGTCAATCATCCTCGGCATTAACCAATGAGCGCATTGTCCCGCCTTCGCGGCTCCTTTGAAAAGGGCGGGTTTATCTTAACCTGTCAATCATCCTCGGCATTAACCAATGAGCGCATTGTCCCGCCTTCCCTTAGTAGTACTAGTAGTGTGCGCGGCTCCTTTAAAAGGGGCGGGTTTATCTTAACCTGTCAATCATCCTCGGCATTAACCAATGAGCGCATTGTCCCGCCTTCCCTTAGTAGTACTAGTAGTGTGCGCGGCTCCTTTAAAAGGGGCGGGTTTATCTTAACCTGTCAATCATCCTCGGCATTAACCAATGAGCGCATTGTCCCGCCTTCGCTAGCTCCGCCTCCAGTGACACAATAAGTAGGCGGTGCTCTCACGAACCTACACCAATTAGAAGTGAGGCGCCGTCCTCCTGTCAATCTTCTTCGGCGGTAACCAATCAGGGCATTGTCCCGCCTCCGCTGGCTCCGCCCCGAGTCACAAGAAGTGGGCGGTGCTCTCACAAACCGCAGCCAATCAGGACTTGCAAAGGCCTCGGTGGGCGGGGGCGGAAGGCTTTTTGTTGCCAAGGCGACGGGGAGCGGGGCTGTCCCCGGATGTTGCTGGGCTTCGCCTTGGCGGGATCCCAAGATGGCGGCGTGAGGAGCGGGTCAAGCGGAGAGGAAGCGGAGGAAGAGGGCGGCGAGGCGGAGGGGAAGCCCGGCGAGGCGGAGGGGAAGCCCGGAGGTGCGTCAGGGAAGCGGGGAGCGAATGGGGGGCGCCTCGGAAGGTCACATTTGGGGCCTGGGGGTTCAATGAGGATCTGAAGAGCCCTCAAGTGACCCCAACACAACCCAAGGCCCCAAAGGTGACCCTCATTGCAACCCAAGGCCTCACATTTGGGGTCGTTGTTTTCATTATGGCTTTGGGCTTCAATGAGGGTCATATTTGGGGTCCTGAGTTTCAGTGGGGTCACCTTTGGGGTCTTCAGCTTGAATGGGGCCACCTTTGGGGCCATGGACTTCAATGGAGTCACCTTTTGGGGAGTAGGTCTTAATTGAGGGTCACATTTAGGGTCTTCAGGTTCAATGTAGGTCACTTTTGGGGTTCAGTTTCAATGTAGGGTCACATTTGGGGTCATGGGTTTCAATTAGGTCACCTTTGGGGTCTACAGTTTCAGTGAGGGTCACCTTTGGGGTTCAGTTTCAATGAGTGTCACCTTTGGAGTCTTCACTTTCTATGTAGGTCACCTTTGGGGTCTACAGTTTCAGTGTGGGTCACCTTTGGAGTCTTCAGTTTCAATGAGGGTCACTTTTGGGGTCTTCAGTTTCAATGAGGGTCGGATTTGGGGTCTTCAGTTTCAGTGAGGGTTACTTTTGGGGTTCGGTTTCATTGTGGATCACATTTGGGGTTCAGTTTCAATAAGGGTTGCCTTTGGGGTTCAGTTTCAATGAGGGTCACATTTGAGGTCTTCAGTTTCAATGAAGGTCACCTTTGGGGTCTTCACTTTCTATGTGGGTCACCTTTGGGGACTTCAGTTTCAATGAGGGTCACCTTTGGGGTCTTCGGTTTCAATGTGGGTCACCTTTGGAGTCTTTGGTT